AGCAGTCCTACATAAATACTGAGCTTCCACTCTCGGCTCTGTCCAGGCGCCTGTAAATGTGCTGTAGGTGAGCTTAAAGCACTGATTCAAAGAACAGCCTCCCATAACTCTTCTATACTGCTTATCCTTGGAAGTACAATATTTAGATTTCAATCTGCTGCTGGGACAGGGCTCTGCAGTCCATCAGTGTGAGTCTCACTGCTGTAAACACCGAGCTCACTTCAGGTGCTGGAGGCGACTGTGGACAAAAACACCACCGCCTTGTACGGTCACAGACAAACTGAGGTTAGACGTGTGCACGTATGAACAATATGCTGCATAAGAAATACATGTTTCTCCGCAGGTTTATTACATGGACGTCACTGTGATTAGAAAGAGGTTTAAAGACTCACTTTCTTTCACTTTCTTTGTCAGAGGTCATGTTAGCAATCACTCACAGTGCATACCCTAGAAGACTTTGAAAAGACAATGTGAGTTTTCAGTCACAGACAACAAGATTTTGCAACGACTGCATTCACTATTTGCATGACTACAACTAGATTCCCTTTGAGATGACTTCCCAACCTGCTCCCGGTGGAAAATATTACACCAAACTCCCTTTAAGAAACACAACATTCCAACAATTTCTTACGTGTCTGCAAAAATGCATTAATTTAGAAACAAAAGATTAAAGGCATCATATGCCAACGGTGTCCCTGTCTATTCTGCATCAACAGAATCCATAGAGATAAACTGCATTTTGGATTTTGTCACCTCGACTATTTTAGCAGAAGGACGCCGTGGGAATGAAAGGCAAAGTATTTCAAAGTTATGATTCGGTGGATCAGATACCCGCTGAATTAAACACGGAGTCTTCCTGACTTCACACGACTTGTTCACATTCTTGTGCCTCCCCAGAGTCCCCTCTCTGTTTACTGTCTATCAGGTTTGCTGCTTCCTGTTTGTTGCTGCAGAGAGCGCAGCTATTGGTCATTCAGAGTTTGCATGAGCCAAGATTAAAAACTTAATGATAATGATAAACGTGTTTGCTTTTTTAAGACGAGAAAAAGCAAGAGTTTATGTCACGTTCTGACTCTCTGTCCTTCCAGCCACATCCCCACTTCCCCAGGCCTTTCCATTGCCATTGTCTGGCCACCTCACTTATCTAACTAATCAGCCTGCTCACCTGTTTCCACTTTCCCTCATCTGCCCTGCAGTGACCCCTCTCCCACCATTCTCATCACCTGACCTTCCCCATCTACCTGCTCACCTGATCCTTATTTTCCTCGTTAATCTGCAGCATGTAAGCAGCCCATTTCCACAAATTCTCTTCCAGATTGGAAAAGCTACTGTGTTGCTTTGGGCCTTTGCTTTCGAGCCATTGGAACCTGACACCTGACCCCTGACCCTGTACATGTACTTGTAACTACCTGCCTCTGTGTAAGTCTATATATAGATGTATTCTTTCACTTTGGCAATAGATTACGTGTTTGGGTCCTCACTTTCACGCCTGCATGATGGTTTTCTGCAAAAAATAAGTCTGTTTCATCGAGCAAAAGCAGAATTAACCAATGAATCTGACCTGTGACACCATAAATGCTCATCCTCTATCGCTCAAATCAATTTCTGAGGTCAGTATTGTCACAAGCCGCTCAGGAAGTTGAGCTAAAACATGAACATGAAATGCCACGGTTTATCCAAAATGGAAGCAAGTTGTGGATATTTGCTCTTTTGAATCTCTGATTACAGTGACTAATAATCATCAAGATAATCACCTTCTTTTTAATGTATACAAAGAAAAAATATAAAATGAAGTAAATATTGCCATTTCTTTGTTCTGTTCGGCTATTTTCACAGTTACGGCTGCGACTAGCTGTTGAAATGTAGAAGTGTGTTCTGCCACTTCACACAGATTTAGCAACAGAGACACAGAGGGAGAAAAGTTTTTTCAAATGATGCAATCATTGCAAACACTAAACTGAGAACAAAAAGTCTGAGTCATGAGTTAGCAACATTCAAGTCCTTCAAACTTGTGTTATATGCATAATGGAAAACCATGATGGGCTTGAACATTTGGTTATTCAGAGTGTGATATGAAATCCTGTGTGACTATAAACAGCCACTTGAGCCACTATGCTCATTATTTCTTATCTATAATATGGTATTGAATAAACATAATGACTATTTGGTGTTTTCTATTACGGGATTTATTGTGACCAGCCCAGAGGCAGTAGAGGGAGTCAGTAACTCTGAATTAATGAAGTGTGTCTTTTTATTTGTTGTCTCTGTGTGATTCTCGTTTACCTTCATACACTGCCCTCTGAGTAAAGATAGCCCCAGTCTGTGCCTCTCAACACTAAGCATCAGCTGCTCTGGAAAAAACAGTCTGTCATTTCTTTGTTCCAAGGGTATTTCCACAACCTTAAAGACTTAGTCTTAATATTTGGATGAAAAAATATTCACAAGTTGCAACTATACAGATCCTAGTAAAACTAAATGACATATATCCTTGCTTATGTACGACACAAAAATATAAACACGTTATTTTATGAAAATACCAAATAGTACAGTTAAACAGTAACATCAATACAGCAGTCCAGGCACCAGAGGAAAAAAATTTATAGAATCACTGCCATGTTTTCAGCGGCTTTTTATCCACCAAACTCTGGTGTTGTTTTAGTGACATGTCGAGATGTTTCCACCAGGGCCAGTGCCATGAAAAGCGGTTGTTTTTTACCTAAACATCGCTGTGTTTCCAGCAAGGATTGTGCCACTAACAGCAGATACTTTAACCTCCTGAGACCCAAACTTTTGTTTGGTATGCATTTTTAATTTCTCCTGATCCCCTTCTTCTGATTTGGGATCAGTAGGACCCGATAAGTATAAAAAAAACCTTAACTTTGTCAACAATAATAAGGTCCCAATATCCTCAAATGAGATGACAATAAAGTCCCAATAGCTGTGTTCGAAACCGTCCACTCACTCACTCACTATTCCCTATTTCGTGTTTAATATAGTGCACTACATGGGGAACGACTGATCGAGATTTCAGACACTAACTGAAATTTTCTGAACGTCGTTGCGTCAGTAGCTGCGTCGCATACTCCTGTGACGCAAGTGGACGTGCTGAGCATCATGTAAACAAACCGGGTGCTTTGAGGATGATCGAACTGTATGGTGGTTGTACTTTTTGTCAATAAATTGTTGAAATGTCATTGGTGTGGACGGTTTTGTCAGCTACGGTTGTGTGTCTGCATTGTGAGCTATAATAGCCCACGATAGTGCACGAGCTACAAGCTACCTGGCTTGTGCGAGCTAAGTGGCTATTGTTAGCTCGTGAGCTAACGTTACCGGCTAGCATCCTATTCGTTTCTTTTCTTTTTTGCAGTTGGTTTTCTCCTTCTCCTCTGGCAAAAGACGACCGCATTGCATTGTGGTATACGGGAGTAAAATGTAGGGTACATCGTTTGTTCACTCACATTTGCTGTGCATTGTGGGTATTTTATAGTCCACTATATAGTGAATGAAATTAACCGTGGAGAATTCGAACAACACTACAAAATGGCGAACACACTATATAGTGCATTTTATCCGTGATAGGGAGCGATTTCGAACACAGTTAATGTCTTCAAACGAATACTTCCCTAACAGCGTCTTATCTTGTTACTAAAATTGGACAAATTTGTTGCCATATCAAACTACAAACGTCATTAATCGCAAATTAACAAGATCCAGCCATAAAATGTGATCAGGTTTTGGACCTTGTCCAATTTTGTGTCAGGATCGGCTGCCGACTGAATTGGCAGAGATGGCTGCCATCTTGTTTTTACATGGATTAGTGTGTTGTGGTCTTACTACCACGAGATGGGACAAAAAAGGTCGAGGACAACAGGTCTAACTTAAGCAGAATGAAGTATATGGTCCTGTAAACTCAAAATGTTATGTCCTCATATGAGGTTAAGCCAAAACATGACCTTGTCCTAACCATAACGTAAAAACACGTTAACCACAGCGTCGTTGAAAAGTAAAGACACATAGTTTCGACCTATCTGCTATATAATAAAGTACAAATGTAACATATCTGTGGTTTGCTGAAACATACAATGCCAACTCTTATTGTGGCGTCTGGGTTGAATATGGACAATTGCTGATGGCTATTAAAACTTCTTTGTTTGGATTAGGAAAAAAGAGCACAACTTCAGAAAAAGGTTTAAAATCTTTTTTTGCGTGCAGTAGACAGTGTATTTATTTCAACCAGATGGTTGTAGTCTTTGAGTATTATAGAAATGTCTCAGAACAGCTGTAGGTGTTGTTAAATGAGCTTTGGGGTTTTTCAAAGATCACCAGGTAATCAGTTTTTTTTTTTTTTTTTTTTTTTTACAAAAAACCCAGGTGATTAGTGCTGTGCAGATCCCCTGAAAGGTCAGAGAGGGTTTTTATGAGATACTTCTGCATTCCTTTGCAATTAATTTTGTGTTCCCTTTGATCCATAGTATACCATACTATAGTGTATAGTATATACTATATGTACGAGGCTGACTGAGATGGACTGTGGCTGTGATGATGACTACAGCCATGGGATGATGCTGTCGCTGTTACTCAACCACAAGTAGTCTGAGTGATAACCACAGCCAGACAGAGCTGCTGCAGCTGTGCTCACAGCCACTGGCTGTACACAGTCGGCCTTTTGAAAGGAGTACTGAGCAGTAAATGCGTCATGTAAAGTGTCACATCATCACTCTTTTCTGTAGTATCTGCATAGTATTCCCGCAGTGTTTTTTAACAGGACTGGACCAACACATTAACTGTTCAGATGAATCAGGGGAATGCAAAAATTATGGCGAGGGAACACAAAAGAAGTTCCCTTCAGGGGGTGTGTATCACTGTGACTAATACACGAGTGGCACAAAATAAGACTTAAGAAAACTCAGAAGAGACTGTTTGTCTTTATAAATATTTTCCTGATAAACAAGTTAAAAAAAAGAGTTAAGGAGAATCATCTTTCCATCATCCATTCTCACCTGGAAGCAGCGATCTCTGCCTTCTGCTTGCCGATGGCTGCAGCCCTTTGAGCGCCCTCCACCGCCCGCTCCACCTTCTGCTTGATCTTGGTTCCCTTCAGCTGTATCACCCTCTTCTTCATGGCCTTCACTAGCATGTTGTTCATGTACTTGCCCTCCTCCTTCCCTCCCTCAGCGAAAGTGGTGCAGCCGTAGCCGTGTCTCTGGTTGTTTAGCCACTCGCCCTCGTACTTCAGCCCGCTGGACCTTTCGCTTATTCCATATCCTGAGCGCTTGTCGTTCTTCCACTCGCCCATGTAGACCTCTGTGGTGGTGGCGTCAATGTCAGCCTCCACTGGGGGGAAATCCTCGGCTCCGGTCAGGCTCTCGTCCCCGATGCTGATGGTACTGTTGGTGTCGCTGGCGTTGGAACTGAGAGCCGATTCCGTCCTCAGGAAGCTGATCTTGCTCTTCTGGCTGGACAGCGAGGTACTTGAGTCGGACTTCTTCAGCTTACCCAGCAGGGAGCTCCTGCGGAACAAGCCCTTCTTCTTGGGTTTCACAGCCTCTGGGTCCACCTGGAGTGTGAGGGCAAAGCCTCCACGGGACGGTCCCAGCTGGGTAGGGGTTGCGACGGGTGTCTCCTCACCTGAGGCGTTGGTGGTGGTGATGACGGGGATGTCTTGCTGCAAGACGGTGCCGTTGCTGTGCTCGCTGCGAAGGGAGGTCAGGGAGGTACGGAGAGGGGAGCGGACAACGGCTGCCATGCCATAAGGGACGCTCTGACGGACCCCATAGCCGTGCCGCATCCCACCTGTGAACTGACCCTGGAAAGTACCTGGAAACATCAGAAAGCAGGGAGTTATTCTTTTCTAGGTGCACCTCATACAAAACACAAGAGGCTACGTTTTACATGCTAACAGCATGACTCTAAAGATGGCAGTGTCAGTCTGTTGCTTGGTTTGACCTCCACCTTGGTGCAGACTGAAATATCTCAACAGCTATTTTATTGTTGCCATGATATTTGGTACAAACAGTCCCTTAACCCAGAGGAAGAATCCTGATTATTTGGCAATCCCCTGGTTTGTCCTTTTGCGCAACTAGCCGGTCAAAGTTTTCACTTTTTTCTTGTGAAATATCTCAACATCTACTGGATGGATTGGCACAAAATTCTACACAGACACACACGGTTCCTTCATAGCAAATCCTACTGTTTTCTCTACTTGCACAGTGTAGTGTGATGTATCCCTATTATGAACTTAACTCCTGTTTAGATCCTGTCAACTCTACAGTAACTTTATTTTTCACAGTTAGCTTTGTACATTTTGTTAATAGTACTTGCCATATCATCATTTTCATTTTAATATCGGGGTTAGCCGGTTAGCTAGCCTAGCTAGCTACTGAAATGAAGAAAAGCACCATAAACTTTATGATGGAGGTCCGCTCTACTGATCTTTACTGCTCACTTTCGCAAGATGGTGTACATCAGTCACATTAAAATTTCTATCAGCTCTTCAAGCACCAAGTTTAAAAGAGAATCATGGTGACCTTATGTTGGCAAAGCTCTGAAAATCAGGCTAATGTAGGTGCAACACTGAGTGACTAGCGCACACCGCTAACGGTTATCTTTGACACTGGGGTGAATATAAAAATGTTAATACACTTTATACAAAAACGTACAGTAAATACTTTCAACAATATGTACAAAGCAAACTGTGAAAAGTGAAGTAACCAACTGAAGAATGGAAAAGCATTGTGATCACTAAGGTCGGAGGTAAAGGTAATAACATTACTGTACAATTAACAGGAAGTAAACAGTCGACACTTTTCACAGTTAGCTTTGTAACTTACATATTGTTAATTAGGGTTGCACGATATTGGATTTTTTGCTGATATCCCATATGCTGATATGTAACAACTCATTTGACTGATAACCAATACTGGTATCGATCCACTTTTTCCCTACATGATTTTAATGATCATCAAGTCTCTTCTGTAGTGGAATTAACATCATATTATAGAGGGAATCGCCTTGTTGTTTACAAATACTTCCGGGTAGAAAACCAGCAGAGTTTAGCTATGTGTGTATATATATATATATATATATATATATATATCACAATTTTCACGTCACTATATCACTGTTTGGACTAATCTGATGTTTGTAAAGTCTATAAACACAATGACTGAACAAATGGTCCGTGAAAAAAATATTTTCTCCAGCAGATGTCTTAGTTACAACATGACTGAGCTAACTGGAGTAGTTTCATGTCGTATCCGACAACGGGAGGCTTTTAACAGATGACGTCCTGATGTTAGCTTTGCTGCTGCTGTTAGCTGTCCCTGTAAGCTGCAGCCACTGATGCTTTCTAGATATCGTGATTTCCCAAAACTGAATAAATACCACACATAGCAACACAAAACTGCTTTGCAGACACCACTAACAGCTAACGGTTAGCCCAGCCAATCTACGATAACCATGTTATTAATTACAAAACATGCACACAGAAATACTAATGTTTGTTCAATCATTTTGTTTATAGACTTTACAAACATCAGATTAGTCTAAACGGTGATAGAGTGATGTGAAAAATGTGATATATATATATATATATATATATAGCTAAACTCTGCTGGTTTTCTACCCGGAAGTATTTGTAAACAACAAGGCAATTCCCTCTATACATGCATACTCTCATCATGATGGCCCACCAGGAGATGGAGACATGAAATACAATACTTTTCAATGTATGTAATATCCATTCATTGTGCAAAATAAATGTTGACTCAGTTGACTGATTCTGACTTTTTTTTTTTTTAAAGCTGATATTGGCCGATTCCGATGACGTGTCAATATTATCAGCATGTTGGCCGATTCCCATATTTAATTTTAAAGCCAATATCGTCCGATAACTGCTGATAGTATCGTGCATTCGTGTTGTTAATAGTATTTAGTGTTTATTTTTATATATAGGCTAGTGTTTTTGATCACTTTGATAATCACAAGTGTCTTAGAAAACCGTTAGAGATGTCAGCCAGTACTTAGCCTCAGCTGCCCTTTGTGTTTAGTGGCAGTTACATGTAGCAAATGCTATCATGCTAACATGCTAAACTAAGATGGTCAAGGTGGTAAACATTATTCCTACTGAACATTGCCATTGTGAGCACATTAGCATGATGTTAGCCTAACTGCCTTACAGAGCGGCTAGCGTGGCTGTAGACTTTGAAACGTGGCTCGGAGTGAAAATAGTCCACTCCATATAAAACTACCCGTCCATTTATCTCTACCAAAATGTCATGGATATCTTTAGTGTGAAAGTTCATTAATGGTCTCACTGACAAGTCATCTTGAGCTCCAGTCTCATGCTATAATTGACATGAGTGTGGATTAGAGTGACAGCTAGGCCTCAGCCCGTGAGGCCAGGAAGGCATGGGGCTTGTGGGCTATTATTACATCCTGACATCTGGTGCTATCACATCCCCCACAGCAACTTCCACCAAACTGGACTTTAAAGCTGATGAGTCAGCTGTTGAGGAGGGGTTCCCACTGCTATTGTACCAGCAGAGATCACTACAGTCGATTTTATTTGTCTAACTTATTTAGTTTCCTCCACACGGTCAAATGGATGACCTGGGGGATAAGTACACAGCAGAAGCTTCCAGAGAGTATCTAAGGATTAACATGTTACTTAAAATCTAAAGGATTGTTTTTTTACTTGAGATACAAACTTTCATTTTATCCAACCTGATCTGATCTGTTAACGACAAATTCTGTATGATTCATCAGTGTTGGAAAGTAAAGTACATTCATTTACTCAAGTACTTTATTTAAAGAACAATTTAACGGTTATTATACTTTACTTAAGTACTTCCATTTTATGATACTTTAAATTTATACTCCACTACATTTCAGACGGAAATACTGAACCTTTTACTCCACTGCATTTATCTGACATAGTTACTTTCTAGTTACATGAGTGCTATCGTTACTTGTTACTTTGCAGATTCAACATTTACAAACACAACTAAACCTGACTGGATGCATTTTTTATTTGACTACACAACACTGACTATTTAGGCACACAGTTTAAAGAGAGGGAACATTTTTCTGCATAATCAGTATTTCTAATTTCAGTGCTTTTACTTAGTTAAGGTTTTGAATGCAGAGTCTTTTTAAAATAATTTTTACATGTCAGTATTCCTTTTTTATTTTTTTTTCCACCACTGTTGACGCCGGTGTAGTTTAGCAAAATGGAAAGATTCCTGTGGCGTTTGATTTCCAACGAGCTTTAAACACTTTTGACTGACAGCAGCAGGGTGATATTTTCTTCCGGTTACAGGCAGACATCATGAGCTGATTTGTCTCCACGTCGCCTGTTATGAACTCAGTGCAGCGGATCATATGGCCACGCTTGGCTTGATTGGTTTTGGTTGTACTACTGCATGATTTAGTTATCAACCTCTGAATGGTCACTGTTGTGTGATCCAGTGGTGGAGAGTAACTTATTACCCAACTCAAGAACAATTTCGATGTCCTTCTTTACTTCTGTATATCCATTTTATGCTGTTTAATGCTTTTACTCAGCTGCGGCTGACAGCTGGACTGACTTTATGGATTAAGACTTACCATAAAACCATAATTTAAAAAGCTAGTTTTAAAAGAGATGCATTGCTATTAATTAAACTACCCAACAGTATATAAAAAAAGTTAAAATTAGCTTTAACTAGATCAGCAATAAAATGCTACTTGCACATTAGGCTAATGCTTCAAATGTAACAGTATGTCTCTCAACACTCAGAAGTGTCCTGTTTCTGAATTATGAGTACTTTTATTTTAAATATTTTACATTTTTCCAATAGCAGTTTTACTCAAGTGACATTTTGAATGCGGGACTTTGACTTGTCATGGAGTATTTCACAGAACAGCAGTGTAACTTTTACCTAAGTAAAGCATCTGAATGCTTCCTTTACTACTGCAGATGCACATTCACATCTCCACATTTCAGTGGTGAAGAGTAACTAAGTACATTTACTCAAGCACTCCAGTTTGGAGGTACTTGTCCTTTACTTTATACTTCTGCTTCACTACTTTTCACAAGTAAATATTGAACTTTTTCCTCTGCTACATTAATTTGATACCTTTTCAGATTCAGATTAATGATACAAAATAATTATGAAATAGATAAAATGGTATTGATCATCTGGGGTCAATTCACAAATTCAATCATGATCATCAAATAAAATGGTTTTTTTTTTTTTTGTTTTTTTTTTAGATTAAAACTAAAATTAACTCCACCTTTACCAGCGCTTTCTGTACTTTAAGTATACTTTTGTAATTTTATTTATATTAAACTTCCAGAAGTTGTAACAGAATATTTTTACATTTTATGTAAGCCTGTTACTATTTTTACCTGGGGACCTGAGTACTTCTACCACTGGTGTAATCACATATAGTGCAGAGCTCCAGTGTAACTAAGTACAAAGTGTATTTACTCAAGCACTATACTTGTACTTAACTTCAATGCTATGTCACTATACATCTGCTCCACTACATCTCAAGGGGGATTAGTCTGTTACTTTATTAGTAATCGAGTATTTGCCACTTTTACTTCAATATGATATGTGAGTACTGCTTTTTCAAGTATCAAAAGTCTGACTTTGTGAATCTCACCTCCATCCGCATATGTTTCTGTTCCATATCCATCCTGAAGCCCATTATTCCATGTTCCTTCGTACTTTGCTCCACTGCCAACACTGATCCGGATGCCATATCTCCCTTTGAAGCCATGAGTCCATTCCCCTCTGTAAATCCAGTGTCCTTTGGTTTCTACTCCCAGGCCGTGACGCTTCCCCTGCGACCAGTACCCCTCGTAGGTGTTTCCGCTGGGCCAGGTGTAGACTCCCACCACCTCGAAGCCGTAGTTCCAGGAGCCGGAGAACTCCCCCTGGCCTTTGGGTCCAGTGCAAATGCCATGGCCGTGGGCTTTGCCTCCCTCCCAGCCTCCGCAATAAGCTCCGCCGTCGTCAAACTCAAAGCGACCTCCACTCATGCCTCACCGCTGCGCAATTACGCACCGATATGTAAAGTAAAGTTTAAGTCTGTTACCTGGCTAAAGATAAAAGCTCCGTCAGTCTGACCTCACCTTCACCTGACATCAAAACTGATTGGAGATATCCTTGGTGCTCAACTTGTGGGGGGTTCTTCTTTTGGAGTTGGTTTGTGGATTTCTACGCGTGTCCATGAAGCTCCGGTGCGCACAACACTTTCCAAAAAAACTTAAGTTTGTCCTTTTTACTCCGGTGTCGTCTTCTTCTTGGATTGAGCTTCCTCCAGAATAAATTTGGGTGTTACAAATTTGGATGAAATTGTCATTAAGTCGAATTATTTCTGTATTTCTTTCTTGACAAGCCACTGATCTTACATGGCTTTTTCCAGGTGGCCACAGAGAAAAGCCCCTCTCCCCCTGTCCCTGCCACCCAGCTATCTCCTGACAGTCGCTGCTGTTGGAAATATTTTAGCAGACCTAACAAGGCGACCAATCCACACACACACACCCTTCCAAAAATACAACCCAATCCTTACTCTGCTGCCTGCAAGGAGCCATGCCAGAGTCTTGCCACCTCGGGGCTGAAGTACATGCCATTCAGGACTCTATAAGTTTTCCCCTGCAGTTTGTCATTATTCTCTAATAGGCGAATAAACATAAGGAAAGATGAATCTAAAATTAGATATGTATTTCTGTAATTTCCCATTGATGTTTCCATATGGTCTGCATGCGCTCATAGATCGTATAATATAGTATAATAACATTTCTACAATACTCCAATTGGACATTAGTGTGTGTCTGTGGTAGGGGTAATACAAACTTTAATAGTGGACTTATATGTAAACCCTGTTTCTTACAGTGTAGCTCTATGACGTTATCATTACAGTGGCCGATAGTTTGCTTTATAGCCTACTCATTTTACCATGAAAGCTGATTTATCTATTATATATCAGGATATTAGGGTAGTAGATTAGGCCTACTAGATAACTACAGAAGCCTACTTGCAGATTATGAGTTTACTGCTACTATATCATCTAATAATCACTTTTTAAATGTAACACTGCACAGGGGGAACTATTTTGTTAATTGTAGGACAGCAGCATTGTCTTGTACTTTATTATCTTCACTCCCTCTGCTGGGAAATGATGGTAACTGCATTATAGATATTTAAATTCCCTTTGAAAACTGTGTTGAACTTTTTGTAATACTAATGAGCAGCTAAGGTAGAAGATGTTGTCAGGTCATTTACCCAAGTAAAAATATCAATAAATTAATGTAAATATTTGATTGCAAGTAAAAGTCCTGTAGGCCTACTCAAATTGATACTTCAATAAAAGCACTACCAGCTAAATATGCCTAAATCAAACCTATCAAAAGTAAAAGTATTTCTAAGCCTACTCTAAAAATATAAACTATGTTAAAACTTTTACAAAACATGTGTTGGATCTCGATATTGTTTGCTCCCTTTTGACTGATTTGGTAAGCCTGTTTTTTCTTCTTAATTTACTAATTTTCATCATTCCTATATTTATGTATAGGATTATCCTGGGATTTTATTTTGTTACCAATTTTACGCACATCCTCTACAAGATGTTGTATGTTTATGCTTTTGTATGTTCTTCTTATGTTCAATAAAAAAAAGTTGCTGTCAAAAAATTAATAAATAAATAAATTTGAAAAAAACTTTTTGCAAAACTAATGACCAGCAGTGGAAGACGAAGTCAGGTCTTTTACAAAGTAAAAATACCACATTAATGTGAAATTGCTCAGTTACAAAAGTAGTGTATTCAAAATATGCTAATGTTAAGCTAACATCACTTGAGTAGCTATAAGTTGCCTAGGCTAACAGCAAGGCTAAATTTTGGCTAACCATGCTTAAGGTGTTAAAAGTAACAGTGTTTACTTGAAAAATGCAAACTTTTGGGAATAATGTTACTACTTAGCAGCAGTGGATAAAACTCAGATGTTTTAGTAAAGTCAAAATCGCCATAGCAGCCTACTTTCATGTCGGACCACAGGTGGAAGGTGGAGCTATGGAGTGGCGTAGCGACAGATGACGTCACTAACGTTAAGCGACAGTTGGCGCCGAATATCGTATTTTTGGGTCTAGAAAAGAGTTTAAACGTGAAGACACATCTTAGTGTGTGGAGTTATGAAGAAGTGAGTGTAGCTGATGTCTGTTAGCATGTCCCTACTCTCTGCTGCAGCTAGGCTAGTCGCCCCGGGCTACATTAGCTGCTGCTAGCTGCTAGCATAACACACGAATTTCGGGCTAAAATTGCGATAGGTGGAGATGCATTATGGGTATTGTAGGCGCTCAGTTTCCATTTTGACCAGGAAGAAGAATCGTTACTTCAAAATTATTTATTTTTTTTGTGAACCAATGCTTCATTGAAGTTCTGCCACTTTATACCAATGTATTCGAATTTGTAGCCACCTGTTTTCTTGGTTGAAATACACATCGGTAGGTAGATGGATGGATAGAGTTTTCTTCAAAATCCGGGAAATCAGGTCTTCACATACAAGGAATATGCTTAAGTGTATCAGTGTATAACAACAAACACTTTGAAAAAAAAAAAGACAAATGTGAATAGGCTGTAGAATACAAAACAACACCAAAAAAAAAGAAGAAAAATAGCTATCATAAAAAATATGTAGCTACATATAGTTAAAGAACTTCACAGTTTTGTAAGTTGTAGTTTTTTGCAGAATAGTTTGAAATATTGTCCATGGGCTGTGCAAAAGTTTAATGAGGTATAAATAGTAGAGATGCATGATATTTGATTTTTTGCAGATATAGGCCTATGTAACAACTCATTTGACTTATAACCAATACTGATATATCCACTTAAAAAATATATATATTGTCATGCAACTCCAACAAATAGGCTATATGTGCAATATAGTCCAAAAGATGGGTATTCCACCATTGAGAATAACAATTATTTAACTAGAAACATGAAAGTTTGGCAGGCAAATCTCTCTTTGGTGGAAATGTGACGAGGGGCCCAACTAGACAATGCTTTTTTGTGAGGGGTCACAAAGATTGGGAACCACTGGTTTTCATTCTAGGCTATTTTATAAGGCATTATATTTTTAATGTAAAATCTTAATCTGAAAAGGTACATGTAACACAGCTGTCAGTGCAATAAAAAGCAGACCTGCTTGATATCTAAATAATAAAAAAGATCATTATTATCATTATTAATCATAATAATATTAATAATAACAATCATGAGAATGACAATAATGATGAGAAGAATAACAATGAATAAATAAATTATTAAATAAATAAATATTTTGATTATTTTGACAGATATCGCGACATGGATTGAGGTTTTCGTGAGAATTGTAGCCTGGTTATTTTCATTGGAAATATATATATATTTAAAAAAAGAAATGATAATGTGGTTTTTGCAGGGTCTGTATCAGAAAAACATGCTCCCATATGTCTGGAATTTGATAAAGGCATCTGTGTAGCACAACAATTGTAATGGTATGTTGTGACACATTTTACCTTTTATCAAAAAACTGCAGCTCATATATGATGTGGATATTGCACTTTGCCACATTGTGATTTCAATAATATTTTGATTAATTGTGCAGCCCTGTAATAAAAAGTACATTTTCTACTGGAATTCAGTAATGTTAATATAAACCAGCAAAAGTTTCAATACTCAGTTTAATTACAAATGTAATTACAGCTTGAATAAAAGTTCAACCACTGAAATTATAGACCTAAACACATGTTGCAAATATCTGTTGAGATTTCTTTTTACTTTCTTGTTTGTTTGTTTGTTTTTAGCCAGTAGGCCTATCTAAAGGCATATTGACACCATATATAGACACCATGGCAGGAGTCCTGGGATCTACAGCCTCCATGTGTCCTTACAGTGAGCCGCTTGACCTTCCAATGAAACACTCCCTCCGCGCGTTTCCACCGCGCATGTTTGTGCGTGGCTCATCATGTGATGCAATAGGCTACGGTTACACATTGATTTATTGTAAGTGAAGCAGCATGCTCGAGTAGGACGCTGTCTGCATTTGGATTTGTTATGATTTTATAAAAATCTGTCCGCATTTGGAGGTGAAGCCGATTCCAGCACGAGAGCTGTCCGGCACTGACGGATGCTGCTGGCGCGTGAACCGATGATGCTGAGCTCGAGCTGCTGAAATCCTCCTCCTCCTCCTCTCTCTGTTTCTCTCTCTCTCTCCTCTTCTCTCCCTCCTCGCTCCTCTCCTCTCCTCCACACGCACAAAACGCTCTGTCATGGCGTCTTCCAACCATGTTACCCCCACCAACTGTAGCTGGTGGCCCATCTCAGCCATGGATGAAGACGGCAAAATCACAGACGGGGAGGAGTGCGAAGAACCGACGGCAGAGCCCAAACCCTTCAATAAAGACAGGCTGGTTTTGTACCACTGGACGCAGTCTTTCACCTCTCAAAAGGTAAAAAAAAAAAAAAAAAAAAAGAAAAAAAAAAGAGCAGAGCTTGAAAATGGAGGTGTCTCCACGTCTCTTTGCATGATGCCACAGCGTGCAGCTCCCTGTGTTTGTTATGATCCAAACATGTTGTGTTATTGGTGCATGTTTATTCCTGCACATACCTCCGGAATATGAATATGATCCTGCAGCTGGGCAGATCTCCCGTTAGAGAAGCGCTGCAGCATGGGGCTCATTTCCTCGACATATAGCAGGACTGGTGGTCAATATTCTGTTTATTTACCACCGCATACATCACCCCCCCTCATACCTCAGCAGCTTCCACCTTTTATAAACATGTTGGAGCTATTTTGTCTCTCTGTGGCTGGTAAATGTGGCAACAACCTATGTGCTCTGACACATGACATCCTAAATAATTGATTAAAATGATGTGCAAAACAAACCAAAAGCCATCTTCCCCCTTCTGCAGCTGAATCATAGCATATAGTGTTATTTTAAGGGCTCCTGTGAGTCTACCTTAGGCTGTACCTCTGCTATTAGATGAGCATGTGCGATAAAATCAAGATATTCAAAACTCTGAAAGCTCACATGATTCATTCACATTAATAACCAGAATAAAGAAGACTTTGTGCTCTTATTTATGACCTGCAGGGTTTAACTTCACAAACAGCATGTATATTAAAGGGGCACGCCACCAATTTTACACATAAATTTCAGTGTACTAATCACCTGGAGCACCACTATGAAAACATCTGTATTCTGTCTGCTGTGGCTCTGGAGGAGCTGTGAAACTCGTAGAGCAAATAACCCCTGTGATGTCGCTGGGGTTAGGGAATGGTTTATTTCATTTGAACTGGGAAGTTGTGATTTCCAGGTTCCCAGTCAGATTTCTGACTCAGAAAGTTGGAAGAACCTCATTGACCATGACATCAAAATCCAAGATGGCCGCTTGGTCTATCAACAATAGAGAAAGCTGTAGTAATATAATGTTAATTAGCACTTCTGTCTCATTTGTGTCTCATTAAATCAGTCGTCCACACAGTACTGTCCAGCTTGTAATGTATTGTTATCAACTGATATTGCTAACGAGCCTGGTCTCACTCCAAAGTTGTCGAAATCCGGCACTTGGGCAGTGACTTGCGGCGTCAGAAACCAACAAAAAAAGGCGTGCTTTCACGTTGGCATGATATGCGGCCAGTTGCTGTTATAGTTTAATGGCTCCCGGTGACGTCAAGGGGAAATGTGGCAGTAAAAGGACGAAAGTTAATGCAGAGAAAGTCCAACAGGGGCTGGTGGGAGGGGTGGTGGATGGGTCCAACAAACACTGACATTCACCTGAGAGAGGCGTCCACTTCCCGTAAGATTATAAAGCCAAACCCTGTTCTTTTTTTCCTAAACCTAACCATGTGTGTTTGTTGTTGAAGGGAAAAAAAACATCAATTTGTGGTGTTGCACCGACTTAGTGCGTTTATTTTGAAAGAGACATTGAATTTCCTGTGAAAACAGAAGTGTATTTTGAAAGAAGACAATGCATGTAACAGGCAGAACTGGACACGGTGTCCCACAACATCAACGACCAACACATCCAGGGTACCTTGGACATTGTATGTGGACGTGGAAAGTCCATGACCAAACATCAATATGTGACGAGGTCGGAGTGAGAACGTGTTGTGCTAACGATGGCTCACCTGGCTAGAACTGGTGCTGCTGACAACATGTTGGTTTTCTGACTTCTTGTACTGCACAGTGTTGAGAACGTCTCTGTTCTCAAGCTTGATTAATAGTTTACTGCATTATTACAAATGTTAGTAGAATTTGAATGCGGTTTTCTTAGTTCTGGAGCAGAACCCAGAAGTTTACTTTGACTCTCTAGTGACCGTTTCACTGAAACTGCATTGCGAGGCAACACCTTGGGTCCATGTTTACTTCCTGCCAGCTGATGTCATTCACATACAGCGCAAAACAGTCAAACAAGAAATATAGAAGAACCAATATAATATGTTTTCTGTTGTCAAGTTTGAAACGATCTATAGACTGAATTACTGTGATGTCTTGCTAACATCAACGATCCCTTTCTGATAGAGAACTGGCAATCAATTTCAGTGCGGAGACATGGAATATCTGCTGTCGTTTCTGTCGTGATTGTTAGCTGTAACTGTAACGTTTATAGATGTTAGTAAGAATAAGATATATAATATGTAATAAGATATATTTAAACACTGTGGTCCGACCTGTCTGACATTTCTGCTGTGCTGATTTTATGTACTTGGTTGCTTTGCTATCATCTTTGATAAACCAAATGTATCATGTAAGCATTGTACTGATGCGGACGGGGCCACAGCAAAACTAAAATTTATATCTGTGTGTATGCTATATAATAATATTTGCTCTGCTTTACCTTACACATTAACTGATATTGGCTGCAGTACTGTAGATCAGCAACTCCAGTTATCTGTTTTTGTCAGTAGAGTCTGGTGGCTTTGATTTAACAGCTTCAGTCCCCTGTCGTAAAAGACTGTCTGACAGCAAGATGAAGCCCTGAAAATATTCTAAATATAGTGTACACTTAAACTAATATTGATTTTTTGGTGGGCTTTTTTAGGTGGGTATCAATCAAGGCAGCGTTTGCTCGGCGCCATTTGATTTTATGTACGTGACGTGAGGGTTTTCTGCCAGGAAGTTATTGTAAATAATGAAAATTATGAATTGGTCTATTGGCATTATCAAGGTGCATTATGGGAAATGCAGCATCCAGTATTTATGGAGCTTGACCCGTATCAGGGACTGAAAGTCAGCACATCTTGGCTTCTGCTGCTTCAATCCTGACCTTTCAGTTTGTCTTTAAGCTAACACAAACTTGCCGAGTGCTCCTTTAAAAAATGCATATTCACTGTTATGAAGTGACAGTTGGTGCTTCATCTCTTGTTCACTGACCTCCATCTGTGCCGTGTGTGTGCACACATGGATGACAGTTATAATTATATTAGTGAGTTTTATAGCTGAAATTATCAGTCGATTAATCACTGAGTCGATCAACAGAAAAAATATCAGCGTTTGATTTGATAATCAATTAATTTTAAGTCATTTTCTAAGCAGAATTACCAAATATTATCTGGTTCCAGCTTTTCAGAAGTAAAGACTTGCTTGAGTTTTTGTTTAACGTAAGAATAAACAGAATATTCTCCAGTTTTGGATTGATCGGACAAAACAAACATAGTGATGATGTCATCTTTGGTTTTAGAAAACTTGTGAAGGCCACATTTCATAGACCAAATGATTAATTGACTAATTATGAATATAATTGGCAGATGAATAAATAATGAAAATAATCATCAGCTCTCAAGTGTTTTACTCTGCTGATGCTTTATTCTGTTAATACACACCTTACTACAGGATTGGTTAAATAGTCTTGTCATGAGAAATGTCTCAGTGCACCAACAGCTGTAGCTCTGTGTCTGTGAGCTGAAGGAGGGTGTAACTGTGTGTTCCTCCCCAACAACCTTGAGTTGATGCTCAGTCTCATGTTGGTACGTCACTTGTAAGACTCGAGTGTTGGCTCACAGCCACTGAAGTCTGAGCGGCTGATTGTGCCGGTTGTCACTCAGCAGAGGGTAAACACCGAGCTCACTGTCATGATTATCGCGTCAATCCTGGAGCTGGAGGAGCTGGAGTGACTTTACAATCATGTGTGACTGCACTGTCAATGGACTGAGAATCCTGAGCATGCATTTTTTTTTAAAAGAAAACACACAAAGTTCAGCGAGATTGCAGCACTGACTTCATGATTTTGTGTATTTCTGCAATGGTGTGTGACATTTGTTGTTACGCAAGCTGATGCGTGCTTTAAATGGCATTTTGGGAATGGCTTTTATAAGATTAAGAGGCCAAGCCCTAGGTTGTCCCCTCCACCAGAACTGAACTGAGTATTTCGGGCCTTAATGTAGCACAAATGCGTGCAACACGATTGGTCACAGTATCGCCGCAGCACCTTGAAAGATAGTGTTATATTTAGTCAATGTTGTGTGGCGTGAAAACACTCTTCCTTTTTCTAAAAAGACAACTTACAGTTAACACTTTGACAACGAGACACTCAGCAAGTGAAAATGACTGAAATGGAGTCACTTCTCCAACAGATCTCCCTGTGAAGACGATATCGCCATCAGGCGTTCAGGGCGGATTATTTACACGTCTGTGTGTGCCTCAGCAGGTTCCTGTGGAGAACAGGGAAGCTGGGCCATTGAATTTCTCCTGCACGACACTTTCCTTTCCTTCATCTGTGTTTATAATGCTTCACGACTAACTGCCACAGTAACTGTGCTCTCGTGGCCTGAAGTCGTCCATACAATATATTCATCTACCTCAGACGAGTGAAGTATCGTGAGCACAACAGATATGATAAAGACATCTTGATACCCTGGAGTAAAAGCATATTTAGAGGCTGGCTTCACAGATCAATAGAGCACTGGAAACACCTTCAATACACCTTCTGTGAGACTCTCACACTCTGCTGTTTTCTGTCTGTGCAGAGAGCACAGTGTCATGACGCCAGCCAAGTGTCTGGTCAGTCATTTAAGAGTTAGTTTCCATATACTGGCGCCCGACAAACCAACACAACACCACTTTATCCTGTTTAAGCAATATTCATAACTTAGAAAAATACTTTTGGTTCTTTTGAATGGTGGACCCTTTTGGACTAAAGGAATATGAGTAACTTAGCGGGTAATGTAGGAATGGACACATATTCTGACTTTATGACAGCGTCAGAAGAAGGGAGTCAACATTTGTTTTTTTGTTATGCTGGTAAATCTGAATGGTTTAAGGTCTCCTCTGGTGCTCATGGTTTCAATAAAATGAAATTGACTGAGCTAATGTGTAGCATCTCCATAGTGACAAATGTTAAAACATTTATATTTGTATGCATGATCTAAGCAGTTAGCTAACAGTAGCTCACATGGGTAGTCAACAGTCCGGTTTTACACATCCGAAAAATACAGACTAGGTGTCTAATTGAGACAGGCCTGTATTTGTCCATATGTGTAGCTACGCCAGACTAGTTAAAGGGACTGAGCATTTAATTTTAGTTTTATGCTAATTATGCATTAACAACAAGTGATGGAAAAAGTATTCAGAGCTTTAACTTAAGTAGAAGTACCAGTGTTGCTAGTAAAAGTCCTGCATTCAAAAACAGAAATGTTATCAGCATCTATTTTATTGGTAGTAGCTATTTATTCAATCAATCATATTATTAGAAGCACTAATAACTTACACTTGCACTGTGTGGCTCAGGGAGATGCTTTGCTGTTAAACTGTTTGGCAACAAAGTAAGTTAATCCTAAACACGTTGAAATAAGCTGCATTCAAAATGGAGGTACTAGCAGTAAAAGCACTAATTTTGCAGGAAAAAAAATATTACATTAATCCTAATCCCAATACAACAATAGCCATATTTCCATAAACTTATTTTTACGTGCATTTTACAGTATCGTAATAAAAAGCTTTTTGAAAATGGCAAAATTCTATAAAACTTCCTCAGCAGCGCTAAAAAGTTTTTATGTTTGCATGAGGTGGTTTTTGCCTTTGCTGAAGAAGAGTTGATGCGCTATGCATTCACGTTACCGTTCGCGGTACCAGATCATCACAGACTGCTAAATTAACCCAACAAACATACTGCTGGCTTATACCCGACAACAGTATAGTGGTGCTTAGTGCAAAAAACACATGTATTTGCACAATGCAGCGATGTTCACGGTCGCACAGTCCTCGGCTGCTATTTCCAGTTTGAAAAGTGGTCCCTCCTCTTCCGCTACGTAGCCAAGATGGCGACCATTAATGGCGAGAAGTGTCCATAGTTCCACACTCAACTTCTTGACCGTTTTGAGTTCACCATCTGTGTACTCAGTGCATTTTTCCATACCTCTCAGTGTGAACGCACTTATGAACTCAAAATATTAAGTGTAAGTACAGAAGTACGCGATTTGAGATACGGCATTTGTCTCTGAACAGCATGAAACATGGCCGACACTAGCTGATATGAAAGAACAGTTTATATACATTCCTGAACACCTGTCTTTATTTTTCTCTCGACTGGTTTTGTGTCTTGTTTGCAACCTTTACTTCTTCTTCTCTGTTAACTGGTAGGTTTCAGCTGTGTGTAAAGCCTTTACCGCCAAACTCTAATAAAACTACGCTTTGCCAAGTTTATTCACTCCAAATCAGTTGATAAATAATTTGCATTTCCTTTTTGAAACAATTTAAAATTCACTTAAAAATCATTTAAATGGAAACACAGCTTGTATGTAAGCAACATGTTACTGTTGAGGTGGAGCTCCTTTTAACTACTTAATATGCAGTTACATAGTCCAGCGGCCCCCAGCCTACATCAGGGGTCGGCACCCTCCAAACAGGGACAGACGGTGATACTGTAGAGTTAGTTGGCTTATTAGTATCATGGATGGATTAGTGAATGAGCCTAACAGGTAAAGGGCCAGGGACCAAAGCCTGTGAATTGACTGTTAACAATTCTCAATTCTCTTAGTCTGCATGTCCAGGGGCTGACGTCTCATAATCTGTGCATGGTACTATTTTCAGTTACAAATAGCAGATATGTATTGATATTATTTCTTAATAGTTGTTTATTTGGCATTTAAGATGAGCTATTATGCTCATTTTCAGGCTTACACTTGCATCTAAGGTTTCTACAAGAACATTTTCATATGCTTTAATGGTCAGAAAACACTCACACTCATACTGTCTGTTTTCACCCTCAGTTTTAGACTCTCTGTTTTAGCACCTGACTCTTTATGCCCCCCTCCCAAAACAGCCCAGACTGCTCTGGTTGGTCAGCGTTTAGGGGTCACAGTGTGCAGCCAGGGAAAAATGACTTTAAAGGAGTATAGTGGCTTTTTCTACCACAGAACAACAACAGAATATTCACAATCAGACATGTTTCAGCAGGAATAAGATCCAAAATCAGGGAAACAGTCTGAAGGCTGAGGTTTGTGCTCACAGGGATTACGTTAATATCTGTTTATCTCAATTATTTGAAACTTTGGCCATGATTCAAATGAACATCCAGCATTGTAACATTATGGATATACACTCTACTCTAGCACTTTATTAGGTACACCTTGCTAGTACCTGGTTGGACCCCTTTTGCCTTCAGACCTGCCTCAGTTCATGGTGTCATAGATTCAACAAAGTGCTGGAAACATTCCTCAGAGATTTTGGTCCATATTGACATGATGACATCACATAGTTGCTGCAGATTTGTCAGCTGCACATCCATGATGAGAATCTCCTGTTCCACCACATCCCAAAGGTGCTCTATTGGACTGAGATCTGGTGACTGTGGAGGCCATTGGAGTACAGTGAACTCATTGTCATGTTCAAGAAACCAGTTTGAGATGATGTGAGCTTTGTGACATGGTGCGTTATCCTGCTGGAAGTAGCCATCAGAAGATGGGTACACTGTGGTCATAAAGGGATGGACACGGTCAGCAACAATACTCAGGTGGGCTGTGGTGTTTAAACCATGCTCAGTTGGTACTAAGAAAATCTCCCCCACACCATTACACCAGCAGCAGCAGCCTGAAGCGTTGATACAAGGCAGGATGGATCCATGCTTCCATCTGAATGTGGTTTTTCCAATCTCCTATTGTCCAGTTTTGGTGAGCCTGTGTGAACTGTAGCCTCAGTTTCCTGTTGTTAGCTGACAGGAGTGGCACCTGGTGTGGTCTTCTGCTGCTGTAGCCCATCTGCTTCAGAGATGGTCTTCTGCAGACCTTGGTTTTAACCAGTGGTTATTTGACTTCCTGTTGCCTTTCTATCATCTTGAACCAGTCTGGTCATTCTCCTCTGACCTCTGGCAACAACAAGGCATTTTGGCTCACTGGATATTCTCTCTTTTTGGGACCATCCTCTGTAAACCCTAGAGATGGTTGTGTGTGAAAATCCCAGTAAATACTCAGACCAGCCCGTCTGGCACCAACAACCATGCTATGTTCAAAGTCACTTAAATCACCTTTCTTCTCCATTCTGATGCTCAGTTTGAACTTCAGCAACTCGTCTTGACCATGTCTGCATGCCTAAATGCATTGAGTTGCTGCCACTGATTTGCTGATTAGCTAACGAGTAGTTGACCAGGTGTACCTAATAAAGTGGCCTTAACAAATTTGTACATTTATATTTTTTTATTGGATACTCCTACCTCTTTGGGCCTCAAGTAGGTATTTAAATGAAGTTATTTGTGAGAAGAACTAGACACTTGATCTGTTTACTGGTAACTATAGCAGAAAATAGTGCATAAGAAGTACAAAATTCCCCTCAGAAATGTGGTGGAATAGCTTTATGATGTAGGATATGTAAACCTCAAAATTGTACCCAAGTACAGTACTTGATTAAACATAGTAGTAACATGCAGATGGATGTTATATTACAGTTTAAATTAGTTTATTTTGTGCCTCCAGGGCAGCTGAACTTCTTGGCATCATCACTAAAGAGTGACTAATTTCATTATATAACAAACTCCTGAAGCAACAATGACTGTGTTATTGCGGCCATCACTGACGGACACCTCGGCAGTGTCAGTCTGAGACCTGAAACACTTGACGGTTTTATATAGAAATCCTTGATTTAGTGTGCAACAAAGTCATGCTGATGGAGATGTAGAAAGCTTTTTTTTCTTGTTTGACTTTGAGGATGCATTCACACATTTGTTCCTGCTGTCCGAAGCAGCAGGCCTGCTGTAATTACTGCGCCTGTGTTACTAAATCACTCAGTATTATTTCATTACACCGTGTCTGGCCATGTTGGGAAAAACTCCCATTTGGTCGTTCCTCCTAAGCGGTCAAATGTAGCACTTCATAGCCCCAGTGTCATCTCCTTTCATTAATCTTATTCCCACTAATAGCTCTCCACGGACCTTGGCTTATCCTTCATCCCGCTAGCAATGGATCCTGAAGGTTTTTGCTCAAACGTTAGCAAGCACCCCATTATTTCGACAGACCACACAAACAATATAGATAAGATTATTTATTCTATACAATACAAACATAACTTTAACAGCTTAAACTATTAGCCACCCTGCTCAGCTTTGTGTATTACTGCAATGACTCTTTAGAGTAACTGAAAAATGAGATTTGTTGTGCAATGAATCACCAGCCTTCACTTGTTTGTATTTGACTGTCTGAATAATGTTTGTGAGGGACGTGTCCCCCAGTTCCCCCTGTGCATATTGTTCTAGACATAAAATCACCCGTATATTGATTCATTATATTAAAATGTGATGTTTTTACAGCACACACAAACCTTTCTCTTCTCCTGTCAGCTTTACTGCTTTGATTTGATACCCAAAAAGACAGACAGCGTCACACACACTAAATTTATCCTTTCCCTGTGTCATCTTCCCTGCTCATCAGCTGTGTGTGTTTGTGATTGCAGGTACGTCTAGTCATTAATGAGAAGGGTCTGGTCTGCGAGGAGAGGGATGTGAGCTTGCCGCTGCAGGAGCACAAGGAGCCCTGGTTCATGAGGCTGAACCTGGGCGAGGAGGTGCCCGTCTTCCTCCACGGCGACACCATCATCAGTGACTACAACCAGATTATAGATTACCTGGAGAAAAACTTTGTGGGAGGTATGGTGCAGTAATAATGTGGCTCATTCATCTAATGATGCTGCTCCTCTTTCTTCTCTCGACTGCAAACTTTGACTTTGAAAGTGCAGACAGATGAACCTGCTGTGAGGTCCTGGGGCAACAACGCACAGCACGTCTGTCAAGCTTTGGATTTCTCTGCATGCTGAAGTTGTGTACAGTAGCTATAAACTAACGCTGCCTTCAAATGGAAATTGTGATCTTGGGGTTACAGCACAGGAAGTCATGTACACAGTATGCTTGGCGTTCAAGTGGTTAGGTCATGAGAACATTGCTGCTAGCCACGTAACAAGGACACCACTGTTGCCGTGTAGAGGCCAACGAGGCTAACAATTTGGCAAGCTACAGTAATGCAGGAAATGCATAGACATAATGACACTGGAGAAAGATTGGCTGTTGGGAATATAGTGCTGCAGGGATGATGTTTATTTGTGGGCCAACATGAAAGTTAACGTCGCCCTGGTTTCCTCGTCAAAAACAGTTTTTTTCCGTTGGATTTTGCATAAAAATTCACGAGTCGGGTAGCTAGTAGTTCTGGCAGTCACTTCGAGCTGCAACGAGTCTTACACACATCATACGTCATTCTCCGTACGTCATCTACTATTATTCATCTATTGTCGATGCTGCTGCTGCCCTGTCCCACCTCCACCCCAGCATCCACCTGCAGGCTCCAGCTAAGGGGGGAATGTATAATCATCACTTCCCAAACTCCCTCTCCTCATGTAAACAAATCTGTGAGGAGCGATGAGGCCAGAGTCTAGACGCCAAACTCTAACTTTGTTCTGCTGTTGAAATAAACATTTAAAACATGAGCTGTCTGACTGAACAAAATGTCTCATAAGCTCCTTTCTACTTTTCTGAACTCACCACAGACCTTATTTTTAGGCATCTAACCCGTTCAAAAACCTGTTGACTTTGAACCGAGAAAACCGAGTGTGCTAAATGCTAACTCATTTCCAGGTTTTAGGACTAACTGGCCATTTCTGAAAACCTCAGCAGACAACTCTGATCTTTCAGAAAGTTTCCACCTACAAGATTGTTTGGTGGGTGTTCATATGAGTTTGTGAACACGGTAAACACGACCCCATTTAAACAAAGCATGACACATCCACATAGACAAGTGTTAGTGACTCTGCAGTGTTTACACTCCAGCAGCCAAACTCGTTATCCGTGATAGTGTTGCACATCAATTAGGCTGTGTCTGAAATCACTCCCTGTTACTATATGGTGCACCACATAAACTGTCCGCAGTTTTATTTTAGTGTGTGTGTGTGTGTGTGTGTGTAAATTTAAATATCCTTGATGGAGTAGAGTCCATGGCATGTACACTACTTTCTGCTAACAATTCCACAGTGATGCAAAATGACTATGATATGACTCAGCAGCTGTCAGTGAGGACACAAAATAATGATGATTAGTAGGGATCCAAAATCTCAATTTGCTGCTCACCATTGAGTGCCCATTACACAGACATTAGTCAATGAGTGAACAAGGGAGTCTTCAACCTAAAAGCCTTTTCTTTTGTAACGTTAAAAGTGACACAAGCTGTTGAAAGCTGAGCACCCAGACAGGGTTTTCTTAGAATAAAATAACATGGATCAGAAACTGATGAGAACACAAGCCTCTTTTACACTGCCAAAACCGGCAAGCTGCGAGCGTTTAGCCACACAGAGCCGGATTGGCGAGTTGATCAGAGGTGCACAATTTTCCGCCTCGTAGGGTAGACATATTGGTGGAACCTTTTTGGTTTAAAAAGAACGAGGCGGCCTTCCACAACGGGAGGGGCTGTTGAAGACTTGTGGGAGGAGCTGTTGATGACGCCGCACATGTGAGCCACTGGCGGTGGACTAACAGGAAACAGCTGATAGCAGGAATTAGCGAGCAGCTAGTAGCAAGAGGGAAACACAAACCTGACAGACACTGTAAAGATGAGCAACTGGGGAGACAAAGAATTGCGTGCCCTCCTTGTCCTCGCAAACGAAGAGGCCATTAACCGTCAGATGACGTGGACGGTGAAGTACGGGCCTACTTATGAGATATTCTCTGAAGTACTGATCAGCCGTGGCTTCCCTCCCACGTCACTGTTTACGTCACACGCTGAGCTACACATTTTGTTACTTGCTCACGCCTCCCATTGCCCCGAAAAAGGTGCATTCTGTATCAACAAAAGTAGGGAAGGCGGCATTTTGCTGCACTCCCTGATTTTGTTTTTATACTGCCAATGCTGAAAAAAGACTGATTGGGCTTTCCTGTAAATTTGCACAATTCCTGTCTAAAAAGGGCCTCTGAAACATATAGCATTAGCTTTGGCCTATAGTAGCTATGATATCATGCATTTAGCCATCAAGTGCATATTTGAGACTCCTGTTTTCGTTTAAAATGAGTCAGCAGCAAATTGAATCCGTTTTTACACCTGGAACCTCCCATCGACAACAGGCTTGAGATGCGACTTGGCTCAGATTCCGGAGTTATTCCTTAAAGAATCTGATCCTGTTTGATTCGGTGGTGGGAACCTCTTGCGACTGTATGCCTTTGCTGACGTCAACCCCAGCAGGATTTGAACCCTAGACCTTCAAGTGCTCTAACCACTACACTAGGGAGGCCCCTCGAGTCAGCAGCAACTTAACATTAAAAAGTCATCCACTGACAGCATTTTCAACCAACTCATGGATGTTGACTCTGCGTTACATAGTATGTCAAATGCAGTGTGCCAAAAATACCAGGAACCAGAATACCTGTTCTACTGCATCTGGTCCGATTTTGCAGCATGCAAGCCAGCATGCTTTTCTGGCTATTCTGACCCACAATCCCCTGCGCAGTGGACGATACGTCACATCGACTGAGCTGAGCTGTCAGAAGTCACGATGGATGACAGCACATTGAAGTAACCGTTGAGCTGTCAAATAGTAGTAATAGGAATATCGATTGATTAAGTTAACAAAATAATCATGAATATTACAAACAACAAAGGACATAACTGTAAAAATAATAATGACAGCAAATATATAATGTTAGAATCTACAATCGGTGCAGTTAAAACTTTAAAGTTAATCTACATACATTGCAAAGTAACATCAGCAGAGGGTTGATCTCCATCTCTGGAGAACTTGGTGACTGCCGTTTGTTTTATCTCACGGTAACAGATATAAAAGCAAGAGTTCAGGGCGTAACGTTATGAGACAGTAGTATATCCCTATTGTGTGCGTACTGCATGTAACAGTACGTACTTTTTAAGGGCAGCTGCAGTACGTACTAAAAGTAAAAAGAAAAAGTATGCGATTTGGAACGCACCCTATGTTAGCTTACGTAGCTAGCTATTTACAGACAGCGACAGTTGTTATTTCAGTCGGCAAAATGGGAATTTGCTTTTGTCTGCTTGAAATCAAGGACACATTGTATATAACTGGATATATGTGCGACTTCTTATGTCTATGCACATATTAATGTTGCAGTCACATGCACCCTGCCAGGTGCTGCAAAAGGGTGCTACACTCACTTTTGGTGATTTCATGGCCAGTCTCTCTTGGGACACCTGTGGTGCACTTGGGCACGAGATGTGATCAGAAAGAGTAGTCGTGATTCACAGGTTTTTTGTGGAGATATGGAAACTGTTTCCAGTGTGTCAGTCTCCCACACGCCTGTTGATGTTCAGGTAAAAACAGTGTTTGATGTGCAAATGAATAAACTGACAATATTCTCCAGATGCCTGTTTAGCAGGATGCTTAATTGAGGGATGTTTTCACACTTGGCCAGATCAACTTTTTAAGTGAAGTCGAGGTGATTAATTAGCATCATTTAAGGCCATGATGTCTGGAGGTTGGCAAGTATGCTGATTGGCTATATCTATTCATCACTGACCATGATTATTAGCTTGGCTTTTATCTCTAAATGCTTTAAAATTGTGAATTTGGCCGAAAGTGATGACCCTGCAGAAGATCCAACTCATAAAATGCACCGACTTCACAGATGCCAAATCTCACTAGTCCAAACTAAACTGAAAAGTTGGCAGTGCTGTCAAAATTAGTGAGAATATATGTCACCCACAGCAGAGTTTCGCCCCGGTTCCTCCAAACGGGCCGTTACTGAAGTGGTGCAATTGTGAAACAAAGGTTAATTAATTTACTACAAACCAGCTGACAAACATTTAATCCATAGAGTTTTGAGGCAGTTGCCTGGTTTGCTGTGTCGCTAACAGAGAATATCAGGGCGCCTTCTCCCAGTTTGTGAAGCTAGAGTAGCAAAGACATTTAGAAGCCAATCAGTTCAGGGCCATCTGTTGTCCTTGTGTGGTGTGTGTCAGTGTGCTCTGCGCTGTGAGACTCTGTAAGTTGCTGCAACAGTATTTTTGCAGCAATGTCACAGAGATGAACTCCTCTGCTTAGATTACATTAAATTGGATTAATCATCTCTTGGGGGATATTTGTGGCAAACAAGACACAGATACAGAAGAGAACAGAGAGAAATTCCATGATTAAACAAGAAATTATGACTACAACACAGAGACTCACAAATAAGTGAAGATGTGAAATGTGCTCTGTGAGGCGGTGACTCAGATTAACAGCCATAGATGTTAACCACTGCATAGAGTAAGCAAATGATAAGATGCATACACTGAATCCCGTTATCTCTGTGGGTGGCGTGTCCTATAGATTCGTCAGCTGAGACATTATGTTGTTATGTAATGTCCTGGGAGCCTCAACCCAGTAAAGGCCCGAGGGATGTCAGCCAATAACTTGAGGACTCTCTTGTCTTAGTTTAGTTTGTGGTCAGTCGTTTGGAGCAGTGATGCTTGAAAGCTTTGCAGAGGCTCTGGTTCACTGCTTCGTCAGTAATAAAAGGCTGGAAGGCAGTAACTGACTCCGGTGTTTGATGTCTTGTTCTTATTCAGGCCCATTCATTTTAGCTGTTTCATCATGTGCTGCATGCAGGGAATAGTTAGTTTGAAGTCACACAAGAATCTGCAACTATAAAGTGTAATGTAACACTTCAGCTGAGGTGTATTTCTGTCGACTGCAGCCCGTGTTTTAAAACCAGGCCTGAAGCTGAACATGCTTTTAGCCAGAAGTCAATCTGCTGCAGGATAAGACTTAAAGACGTGCTATTTCTCTGCGTGTAAATCCCTAATGAATGCTGGCAACGTGGGCTGCAGCTGGCTTGGAAAGTGCAGATGTCTCAGAAAAGAGACTCATATACCAGCACAGAGCAGTGTCGTGCCAACTCGGACTACTTTACAGTGTTGTTGAGATGCAGCAGACGACTCTCACAGTGTGAAAACTGTTTGTCGACTAACAAACAATCAGCAGCTTTTATATTCTGAAATGTGCATCACTGTCTCAGAGACAGTGTGAACACTGGGTTGATCTTCAGATGGCTCTTTGTTGCTGCTGTGTTATTTCCACCACAGTGCTGCAGCACACCACCTAGAGGATCTCAGCATGGCATGCCCAGGTCAGCATGCAGGTCCTGGGACTGATTACTCAGCTTTCTGGAGCTGTGCCAGGTGCAGCTCCACCCCTCCGCAGGCTTATCCGTCAGCCTGAACATGCTCAAGCAGCCAACTGACTATCTGTGTTCTGTCAGCGATGCCGTCCCTGGCTGTGACCCTGCACAAAGATAAAAGCTCTCTCTGCTCTGCTAACCTGTTTCATCCTTAATACTGAGTCTCAGCAGCAGATCATTAAGTTGAACAGCATCCCACTCAGCTGTGCAGCCTGTAGCCAGCACAAGAACTGGGACAGCAATATATAAAAGCTGTGATTTAAAATGAGTAGTTCAAAAACTGAACTGTAAAAAGAGGTTTTATGGCATAAAGTGAGATGAGAAGATAGATACCACTGTCATATCTGTCTGTTTAATATGTAGCCAGCAGCTGATTAGATATACTCAGCTTAACTTAGCTGACTGAAAACAAGGGGAGACAGATGCCAGTACACCTCTACCACCTGTACCAGCATCCCTATTTCACTAATTAACACATTATATTTAGTTGGTTTAATCTGCACAAACATTGATGTGTAAACATTTGCAAATTTACAAGTTGCTGTTTTACTCAACTACTGAGAAGACAAGTGCAGCCACGCAGCCATCGGAGGCTGCAGGAAGTTGCTGTGTCCAGGCAAAAAATAGTGCGGCACATAACCCCTGTATAATGCTAAATTGACGTTTTAACATTTCGGTTTTTGTTTGGATTACACGAAAATATATATATGTGTCAACTAGTGAGCTGTGGGGGTGCTGGTAGGAGCATTTCATTACCTTTGGACAGAGCAAGGCTAACTGTTCTCTCCTGTCCTTATGCTAAGCTAAGCTAACCAGCTGCTGGCTGCAGCCTCAGGAGTGTCCATACAGCGTTTTTATCCAAGCTCTATCGTCTTTTTTCAATTGACCGTTCACTAAGTCTCGCCCCCAGACCCAGACTGGCCAATCATAATGTTGCATCTGGCCGGCTCAGACCAGGGTTCGACTCCATTGACTCTCATGCAGTCGTTTCAGATTTTCTTCATTTTCAGGCTGGTTTTGTGGATTTGGAGCTGAATGTTGTGGCTGTTTCTTCCCTGTTCCAAAATCAAACCCTGAAAAGTGTAGGGTTAGCTAGCTAGCTACTGAAGATATAGCCTACTGAATGTATAGACGAATTCAGCGAGCGATTTGTGTATGCCGCCATCTTGCGGCGGCGCCATTGCTGCGGTGACATGTGTCAGTCATCAATTCATTATGCTGTCATTGTGAACTGACTCTCTACAATGACAGCATCATGAATAGCTGGATTGATGATGTTAGACAGTGGCCTCCGTTAACTGATGAAGGTATCTTAAATGAGTACCGATATTAATATAGAAATTAATCATTTGTTTGAGCGATAAGCAGGAATTATTAGAGTAATAGGGAGATAACAGACTGTATCATTAAACACTGTGTAATATAACGTTAGCATATTTTATGTGTGCTGACGTGACATTTAATCATTATGGACAGGCTACGTGACTAAAAACAACAACAACACGTGTTTTTGTTTTGTTTTAGGTATTCAAGAACATTTTATTGATCACCTGGCCTCCAATGACCAGAAAAATGGCAGGTTTCTGATTGAGGGTCAAAATTACCTGAGCTCCGGGTCGGTCAGGCAAATTTTACACCGCCTTTTAGATGATGGTCCCGTAGCCTGTCCATAATGATTAAATGTCACGCTGCTAGCTTGCTAACATCAGCACACGTAACGTATGGTAACGTTATATTACACAGTGTTTAATGATACAGTCTGTTATCTCCCTATTACTCTAATCTTTCCTGCTTATCGCTCAAACAAATGATTAATCTCTATATTAATATCGGTACTCATTTAAGATACCTTCATCAGTTACCGGAGGCCACTGTCTAACATCATCAGTCCAGCTATTCATGATGCTGTCATTGTAGAGAGTCAGTTCACAATGACAGCATAATGAATTGATGACTGACACATGTCACCGCCTCAAGATGGCGGCATACACAAATCGCTCGCCGAATTCGTCTATACACATGCTGCTTTTGCTTTTTAATGATTATAACAGTGAAACAAAGACCGACCCTGCTGTACAGGAACCAGTGAAGGGAAGCAGGGAATCTTTGCTGATGTTCAACCAGCTGTGTGTCATCACATTGTGCGCAGATGAACGTCGTTTGAAGATCCCTGCCCGTCCGGTGGCGGAGGTCCAGTTGCTGGCAGCAGCACGGGGGCGAAGCCGAACACCTTTCATCTGCACACACTGTGATGCCACACAGCTGGTTCATTATCAGTTAAGTTTCCCTTTATATTCATTGTCTTGTGTGGTGATCAGCAGTGATGTGGTGGTTCACTTTTACACTGTGATCTGTAGCCTATAGTTCGGCTTTAGCTTCTAACTATCTTTGTCTTTTTAACCTGTTGTTGCTGCTGAGTCAGTTTGACAGCTGTGTGTTTCAGTTGGTATGCTTGCATTCAAAGGTGCAGCTTTGATTGGCCAGAGCGGTGTATGTTTACCCTGGAGATCGCTACTGCGCATACTGGTGTCACCAGAGCAGCATTGCAGGGCCTGTATCCTGGATACGTATGTTGGCTTCATTTTTGTACAGTGAGAGGAAGTGAAGACATGTTATTCATCTTTATATGCAGTCACTGGTAAAAGCGCAGCACCCAGCATCTTTTTCACAGTGCTCCCACTTTTATGTGCAGCTACTTTGAGAGCTTCTATTTGAAAATCTCTTTTTCAGAAAGGTGTGGGTGTCGCCAGCACACTGCCAGCACCTTTCTGCCAGGAAACAAACAAACAAACAAACAAACAAAAAAACACAGGACTGTCAGCCTCACACTTAAAGGGACAGTACATCGATTGTACTCATCATGACTAGATTGTTAGTGATGAGGAGGACTGGTTTTCTGGTTCTGGAGGAGCTTTGTCAGATACTCTGTAAGAGTCGTATCCATCTTGTCGTCCAGTTCTTGGCAAGAAAGCAAATACGCACATTTCCAAAAATATTGAACTGTTCCTTTAACCTGAGCAACAGCAGATAAATAGAGCAGCGGGTCAGTGGGGGATTGATGCAACCAGCTCACAGTGTAGCCTAATTAACCTGTGTGTTTTATGAAACTGGCCTCGTGTTACTGAGCATAATGTGTTTCTGTTCACCTAGATGGAGCTTGAATTTCATCTCATGGGGTTAAACAGTCTTTTCAGTCTTCACTCAATATCAATTCTCAGAAGCTTGTTAGTCTCCAGGAGGTGTTTTTTTTAGACTGCTCTTGTATTGTCTAAATGTCAGCTTTTGTGAGACGTGACCGGTGGTGTGTTGCAGAGACCGAGGGGTGTCATCTGTTACCAGGTTACTGCGCGTCTATCCGACAGCTGAAGCAGGGAGAACTGTGTTATGTTGGGGGGGATGTAAAAGCAAGCTTAATAACGGTTGCTTAGAAACTCCAGGTGTTTTTGTAAAGCTCATAAAAATACACCAAGAATAAAACCAGCGTGCAACTGCATCACGATTTCTTTTTTGTATTGTTTTGCTTACACATATTTGACCTGTATTTCTGATCTGTAGCCTATATGTGTTCTTCTTGTCCTCAGAGAGCCACAACAGGGTTCTGAGCTACCTTAAAATGTTCTCTCTGTATTGCTGTCTTTCACATCTGTGTCTCGCCCGCAGACACGGTGGCTCAGCTGGTTCCTGACGCAGACTCGCCTCTCCACGATCGAGTGCAGCAGTACCGTCAGCTACTGGATGGCCTCCCAATGGACGCTTACACACACGGCTGCATCCTCCATCCGGAGCTCACCACTGACTCTATGATCCCAAAGTACGCCACCGCAGAAATACGTAGTAAGTGAAGCCAGCTCACCGTACTGTGCAGGCATGTTTTTAATTTTGCATTAAAGGTCCTGTGTGGCATTTAGGGGGGCATATTGGTAGAAATGGAATATAATTTAATAAGTATGCTTTTTTGTGTGAATAATCACCTGAAAATAAGAATTGTTGTGTTTACGTTACCTTAGAATGAGCCTTTCATCTACCACTATTGCCATGATGCACCGCCATGTTCCTACAGTAGCCAGGAGCAGACAAACAGTGGCTCCAGATAGGGCCATTTGCGTTTTCACGTCAGCCGCTGTAGTTAGAAGCACCTCTAAGATGGGAGCATCACAGAAACACTGATTTGAAATGTGAAACAGTTTTTATTCAGTGTTTTAACCGGTTTAAATCACCTGGTCTGGTCCTCCTGAACAGTGAACATTGAAGGAATTCTAACTGCGAGAAGTTTCAGCTGGTTGCAATCTGCACTCCTCACTAGCCATGTTTCCATCAGCCTGTTTAGATGTGCATCTAGAAGTATCGCATCGGAAAATTATGATGGAAACGCCAAAATTAGAATTAAAATCCCCTGATTTGCACAAACTAAAATACGCTCGCTTTAGCTGGGTTGAAAATGTTGATTCGCAAAACAGGGGATGGAAACAGTTATGTTCGAATTAAGTCTGATGTAGCTCCATGGTGATATCCACACTCCAGGTCGGGAAGGCGGTAATGCATTTACAAGCTGGTTGCAAACCGCCAGAAAACGTAGAAGAAGAAGAATGGAAGACTTGCTTTGTTTCCGGTTCTGCGGAAAACTCGCGCGAGTTCGTAGTTTTCACCAAAGTCCGTACATTTAATGGAAACATACAGGATTCATATTCTTTTAATGCGCATTTCCCAATGATTCTAATCACTTTTGGATGGAAACATAGCTACTGTAACAAACCACTAAATCCCCTTAAATGTTACAGACAGTTCCTTTAATTACAAAAAGAACAGGGTGGATGTTATATATCCCAAGTTACAAAGTCCTTCATACAAAGCATAAATTGAAATCAAGACAGAAATCTAGTAAGACACCTAATCAAATGGATCAGATTTTGTAATAAGATAATTGAAACCAATTTCAGTAATAAAAGATAAAAGAAACAAAGAGACAATTCAAGTGAAAAAAAAAAAAAACTTAAGATAAAATTTGGGTAAGCTTGCCAGTAATAGTGTATAAGGAAGAGATTTGAAGAAGTAGTTCAACATTTCCAGAAATGCTGATATGCCAACTTTTTAAGTCTCAAAGACATCATTCTAACTTGAACAGATTAAACAGTATATAATCATTTTTATTTGTGAGCTTTAGAGGTGATGGAAGGTGTTTTTGTTACCTTTGCACGGAGCCAGCTGTTCCCCCGTTTCCAGTCTTTGTGCAAAGCTAAACTAAGCAGCTGCTGGCTGTAGATTTGTTTTAGTAGTTTAATTTATATGTACTAGATGTCACTGACTCAGATGCTGTGTCCACCAAAACGTTTTTTTAATACACTGCAATGGTAGCACTGCGCATTTACGCTGCACTACAAACGACAAGGCGCTGTGTGAGTTCTGCACCGAGCGCTGCGGGTGGGCATCTTTTTTCTGAGCGTAACTTCGGCCGTTCAATCACAGTGGAGGAGGGACAAATACTGAGAAGACAAACCATCACATCTTACATGTACAAGTGCTGAACAATAAGGGGGGAGAAATCTGTTAATACACTGTACATATATTATGTTTCCTCTCATGAATCCGCAAAGTCCTGTCCTCTCTCCCTGCATGCTTCAATCTGCCCCTCATCCAGAGAAAGTATTCTACCTTGTGCCAACATGTTTACGTCTGTGAATATTCCGTATCATAGCAACCAGATGCAAACAAAGCCTCTCAGCTGAAAAAATGCGGCACCTCCAGAGCGCTCTCAGACACTCCCAGCTGTGCGTGTCCTGAAGAGCGCCTGGTGTTTTCAGCTGGGAGAAAACACTCTGGTGGACAGGGGGCCTCAGGGAGCTTGGTTCCTTCAGGCAGGTGTCACTGATAGATTACTGAACAGGCCTAATAGGCACAGGCCCAGGGGCCCAAAGCATCCCCTGGCCCTCATCTGCAAAATGTCACTGAAATTACTGAACCAGGAAGAGAGTTAAAATGACCAAAAATAGATGCAAAGGAACTGCAAAGAGACACAAATCTATAAAAAGATGCTAAATGACGGCAAAGAAAATGACGTCTGTGTGTCTTACTCCTGTGTAGGGGCCTTTTGCATATCTGTGCCCAGGGGCCAGTTGTCTCATTATCACCCATAGGCTCTATAACAGATGAAAAGACCTCCTCCTGATCATCTCAAACTTCGCACAGCACAAAGAGCCTCAACGCTTGGTCAGCAATGAACACAAAAACAAAACAGGACTGGACCTCTCATCCGTCACGAGCTCCTGGAGTCCAGCTTTGCTCGTGAGAGTTCAAACCGTTGTTCCTAAAAAGACTCACAGTATAAAAACCAATGATTGTCTGTAGACTTCAGATTCCGGCAGCTGAATCCCCTCAAGTGTGTTTAGCACACAAAGGCACACAGTGTTCACAGATTCACCTCGTATTGTGCAGTGATGCAGCGTGATTCAATGTGACAGTGTGTTCTGCTGCATTTCACAACGCATATTCACACACGTTTAATATTCTCTGTAGATGCATGTGTGTCTTTAGGTGTGTGTGTTAGCATCATGTTTTTATATAATCAATTTTATTCTTATCACTTTAAGTAACTATTTGTGATTTCATCCCTGATTTGTTTGGGTAGAAGGAAACCGATCTACACCTGCCAACCCAAGGAAGCGTGCATCTGCTACTCTCAATTCATGAGCACATGCATGCTTCCTTTGGTGTGGTGATACGGTTGGTGGATGTAGTGCAGTAGAGAGAAAGTAGTTCCTACATAAAACTGCTCACTACAAGGTCTGTGGACTATCTTGAGTAAGCGGGTCATGGTTCTGGAAAGAGACGTTGCTGCATCACAAGCTGAGTTCTATCTAGTTCCATTATACTGGAGAGAAGGCAGATATCTCTACAGCTGATATCTCCAACACTCCGCAGCAAAACAATTTAGACTGATAAACAGCACTACAGGTAAAGCTCAGTATAAACTGTGCAATTTTGGGCTGAAAAAAATGTGGAGATATCTTTGGTTGTGGCTCTAAAACGGTGGTATTACGTCGCACAGTGAGAGAGGTTCAAGGATGGCTGTTCACGGACTTGCGATCAAAGACAGCCTGGGATAAAATTCTGACAGTGTGAGAAATTTAGGACGACCGTCTCACTGTGTGACTGCTGTTACGACCTTCATCCACGAACCAACCAATAAAAATGCATGCACTGGCACTAAACCCAAACAATCAGACAGATAGCAGCTCGTCATGGAGGCAAAACGTGCTGAAAGAAATGTGAGGGATTCCAGCAAAGAGGAAAACCTTGTGGAGTTGTAGCAGCAGAATCCTCGTCTGTATGATGTGTCCTCCAGCTCTGACCATGATCTTATAAAGAAGGAAGGAAGTAGCGCCTTGTCGCAGCTGCCAGATGAGCAACCAAGCAGCCAGCAAACAGACACACAGCAGTATTTCGTGCCCACAAAATTTTACATTATTTAATAATGTGACCCACTATGTTATGCTTCACAGTTGGAGAAGAATTAACCCATGCAGCATCCTTACGCACTATTGGTACGTTCGTTTTGTACTCGGAGGTCGGAAGGCAGCCATCTTGAATTCGTAAGTTGGGGTTGATGCGGTTGCTCTGAGTTTCCGAGTTTCCGAGTTGGAAATCTGATCTCAGGGTGCGTTCGAGTTTAAACTTCTGACTGGGATCTGGGAATTTCCGACCATATTGCATCGCACGTTAAAGTTTATCAGATCCATGTGGCACAGTGTAGCTGCACTAAACTTATAAGACTGCTAAAATCTCACAGTCTGTAGGAGGCGTAAGATGAAAAAAAAAAAAACTATTTTGGGGTGAACTGTCCCTTTAAGTAAGATTTTGAGTGCAGGATTTTTTCTTGTAACAGAGTACTTTTACACTGGAGTACTGCTACTCCAGAATTTATTTGTAGAATGTGTAGATTGACAAGATAAAAACCAGATGCTATTTTTGTTTTTGCCCCATTTTCCATGTGTATTTTTATTTTGATACATCATATAAATAGATTTCAGAGTTTTGAACTGGTTGCTCTGAACAGTTACAAGCTCTTGAGGTGAATCAGGTCCATTTTTGGGACCAACTAGTCTCCCAAAGCAAAAACATTATGAACGCAAAGCTATTCATCTTCTTGTGCACAAGTCGATTAGCATACTGTGTAAATTCTCGCTACTCCATACCAAAAAAAACCCCTTAATGCAGCACATTGTAGTGATGCCAAGTTTATAAATCCCAACAGCTAATATCAGGCCTCTGTAGGGTTCTTTCCATCAGGTAATTGGCCTCGGCATGTAAATCAAATAAGCTGGACTACACAGAAATCTGTAGCAGAATTAATTATCCGGTGAACTCAGGTCAGTCTGTGTTGTATCTGCGAAATGAATCTGATGGAGTGTTTAATGGAAAGCTTCAGTGATGTTTGTTTGTGATTATCCACTTAAGTTTGGTTTATATTAAATAATTTCTGACTGCAGTATTTAGTCAAACGTTAAGCCTCTTGGAAATGTTAGAAAGACGAAAAATGTCAGTTTTTGTTTGTTTGTTTCAATTTTTATTATCTGTTATTTTGTGACAAATGTCATGAAATCCCACAAGTAACAATGTGTTTCCTAACTTCCTGTCTGTGGCTCACAGCTCCAAGCTCATTGGCTCCTACCTGAAGACTAGAGCTTTAAAAACAGGCCAGAAAAATATAATTTCATTTAAAAAAGGCTCAATATTTAGTTTTAGCAAACTATTTAAATTGGAGGACATGCTGCATTTGTAGGGGACTATTTTCAGCGGCGGATTAATCCACATTTGTTTGGTATTCTAGTGAGTATTTGTGGCAGCAGGATGCTGTGCGTTGGATTGAGTCAAAATAAACTGCAGTATGTGTGTTTATAATGAAGGCACACAACATTCAGTGCAACAATGTGACTCACTGATGTGTTTTTTGAACAACAATGGAGTTCTATGGCACAGAGGAGGAGGAAATATCAGGCTTTGACACACACACACACACACTAGGATAAATTCATTGTTGTTTTGGGTCTTTTCACAAGTTTATTGAAATCAAGAAAAGCCTAGAATATCATCAGACTTATCCTTCAACACTATGAGCTCAGTCAAGTCATTATACAGTATTTCCTATAACAACATGCCCTGCAGACACAATGAAGGGAGCACAGATGAGAATAAACTCTCAGGACAGTCAGATAGCTCCTCTGTAGGATTAAACATGCTCTTACACCCAGGAATACTGTGGATGTAAGACACCTAATAATATACAATAATATCAAAGAAAAAAAAAAAGTTGATTAGTTGCGTTCCGTAGTGCCCTTTGACATCATTAAAGGTCACAGTGGCTTTGTCACATGATGGAGGCAGACGAGACGACGCTGTTTGGCCCCGTGAATGTAACGTTTACATTTAAAAAGCGCTCAGATGGAACTGTTGATAGGAGCAACGTTCTCTGCAATTTCTGCAGTAAGGAATTTTGGTAACATCGGAGTATTAAAGCCTGAAATATCACCTCAATGCAAAGCATTTAGCAGTGAACCAGGAGTCCGAGCTAACACAGCCTCTGATGCTAACGCTAGCAGTCAGCCTATCTCAGCTGACACTGAGCAAGAGGCAGGGTACACTCTGGACAGGTCACCAGACTATCACAGGGCTGACACATAGAGACAGACAACCATTCACACTCACATTCACCCCTATGGACAATTTAGAGTTATCAGTTAACCTGCATGTGTTTGGACTGTGGGAGGAAGCTGGAGTACCTGGAGGAAACCCACGCTGACACAGGGAGAACATGCAAACTCCACACAGAAGGGCTCCCCTACTCTGAGGTTCAAACCCCCTACCCTAGGTTTGAACCAAGAACCCTCGTGCTGTGAGGCGATAATTTTAACCACAGTGCTGCCTGTATTCAAATATCAGTTTTCTCAAAATCAGTGTCCAAAAATGTCTCGTGATTGACTTTACTTTATGTGTGTGTGTGTGTGTGTACAGGACACCTGGCGAACGCTGCGACGGAGCTGATGAAGTTGGACCACGAGGAGCCTCAGCTGACAGAACCGTACCTTTCCAAGCAGAAGAAGCTCATGGTGAGTTTAATGTGATTGAAATACATGTATTTATTAATTGTTCTCATTATATACTATTATGTTGTGAATATGGGTGAAGCAACCCTTATTAAACCAATCCCATAATTTCCCCCTGAAATTTCCATTAATTTACACATCAAGCAAGTCATTTTAATGGGATTCAAGGGAGAAATCAATGGGTAAATAACAGTTTGTAATAATTAAGGGATTAGTTAATGGATTAGTTTTACAGTTTAAGGGATAACAATTCTTTAAAAAGTACAGTGCCACAAAACATAAAACCTTTATACCTTATGGATGTTCATAATTCAATTTAAGTAAAACTTCTCAGAACTTTCAGCAGGTTTAACCTTAAAACCCCTCAATCCATACAGAAAACCCATTAAAAACCCCTCAATATATTAGTTCATAAATAGATTTGGCATAAACCCCTGAAAAAATAGCTTCTTGATTAAAATATTACATCTTTTTAAGTTTGAAATTAACGGATACCTTTAATTTAGTTTTCTAAATAAAAAACTGAATATTAAAGTCCATTAATTTAGCCCAAACAATGGCTTAAACCCCTTAAATATCATTCATTTTGCACCTGAAATTATTTCAGACCCTTGAGCTGTATAAAGGAGCACAGCAGTTTAATGACGGGGATATTTTTGACAACTCTGTTAGCTTATTTACCTCTTTAATACTTTGTGGACCCACTGAAAGTCACACTTGTCTTTATTAGGGTTCAACTCTCTGACAGATAATTAAACTTCCAAGTCTGTAGCTGAGGGACATTTCATCATTAACAGTCTTAAGCAGTTTCCTCACATTGCACAACTGAAGAGCTGAAATAAAGCAAAGGGGAAAATCATGCAACACTGCACCTTTGACCTAAATACAGCTCATACTCCCTGGAGGAAGAACCCAGCCGTGCAGACGTTGTTTGCATCAGAAGCAGCTGTTTCACCGGTGTTAGAAAGATGTGAGGTTCTGAATCAATGAGGCAGAGATGACTGAGTGTGTCACGCCAGAATGGTTTTTAGCCACACTAGTGATGTGTGTGTTGATTGGTTGGTTGTTTGCTGCGGACTGAAATATCTCAGCAACTATGAGATGGATTGACGCAAAATGTTTCCTAGAGGATGAATCCTAAAGATGATGGTGAAGTCCTGACTTTGTCCGTACCCGACCAACAGGTTGACATTTTCGTTTTTAATTGGATTGCCACGAAATTCAGCTCAGACATTCTCGTTGCCCTCAGGTGACCTTTGTCTTGTGCCATTTAATACTGGCACTAATTTGTCCATTACTTTAGTTTGTGACCAAATACCTGCAACACTAATGTCATTTCCATCATCCTCGGCTGTATTTGTGTTTAATGTGATTCAGAAAACGTTAGGATGCTGTCTCATGAACGAAGATGGTGCATCGTGGTCGAGTTCCAGAGGTGTTTCACTGTGAAATCGGCTTTTGAAGGCTCTCTGACTTTGTGTCTTCAAACTTTTCTTGAGGAAAAATAAACATAGCCGCTGTGATGTCACCTAATGGTTTGTGGACTCCTGTTTTGAAGCCTAAAGTCGGGCCCTTTTGCTGTCACCATCTCTGATTTTTTGGAGCCAGAAATGACCATATTTGGACGAGAGGGGGGAGATAGCCCTAACGCTAGCTGATAGCTGGGTTAGCACAGTGCAATTACAGCTGTGGCTGACTGTAATAATGCTAATGCTAATTAGCTAAAAACGTGTACATGTACGCACCGGACAAACTGAACACCCAATTCCTTAGGTCTTTCAGTACAACTAAATGCTGAGCAAGAGTTTTTGGATGACCAAAATGTGAAAATTAACTTTAACAAACTAAAAACACACTACAATAGATACAGTTATAACAATACTCTTTGAATTTGGGTTTATGCCATTGTTATAGTACCTAACTAACGATGTTGCTGTTTGATTTGATTTGATTTTTGTAGGAATTTAAAACCACAACAACTCAAATGAGTGTCATTACACAAAAATCCCAGAGGAAAGTGCTAAAAGCATGACTTTAAAACATTATTTCCAAAGTAGTCCTTGAGGTAGCGTGGCTGTGGTAGTGACTCGGAGCACCCATACCCTCAATTATATGTAACTTCAAGCCTTAATAAAATATAAACAGGTAAGTTACGTAAAAATTGACCCCCTGTACGGTTGTCATGAGCAGTGAAATTAGCTTTAGAGACTAAAACAGGCTGTAAACGTGTTTATTTCTGCTGTAAAGTTGGACATTTTAACATGACGGTCTATGAGGATTGACTCACTCTTGGAGTCAGCCTCAAGTGGTCAGTAGAGGAACTGCAGTTTTTGACACTTTAGCCCCTTTCACACTGCCAGATTTTCCGCGAATGTTGGGCCGTTTTGCTGGCAAGTTGTGAGCGTTTAGACACATAGAGCCGGATTGGCAAGTTGATCCGAGGTGCCCAATTTTCCGCCTCGTAGGGTAGTCATATTGGCTAAACCTTTTAATTTAAACAGAGCGAGGCGGCCTTGAAGACTTGTGGGAGGGGCTGTTGATGACGCCGCATGTGCGAGCCACTGGCGGTGGACTAACAGGAAACAGCTGATAGCAGGAATTGGCAAGCAGCTAGTAGCAAGAGGGAAACACAAACCTGACAGACACTGTAAAGATGAGCAACTGGGGAGACAAGGAATTGCGCGCCCTCCTTGTCCTCGCAAACGAAGAGGCCATTAACCGTCAGATGACGGGGATGATGAAGAACGGGTCAACTTATGAGAGAATTGCCAAAGGACTGACCAGCCGCGGCTTCCCTCCCACGTCACTGTTTACGTCACATGCTGAGCTACATGTTTTGTTACTTGCTCACGCCCCCCATTGCTCCAAAAAAGGCACATTCTGTATCAACAAAAGTAGGTAGGCGGCATTTTGCCGCACTCCCCGATTTTGTTTTTATACTGCCAATCCTGAAAAAAGACTGATTGGGCTTTCCTGCAAATTTGCACAATTCCTATCTAAAAAGGGCTTTCAGTTCTGGTTTCATTTTTCAGCCCTGCAGGTTGACCCATGATTTAGAACAACAGTGACAAGATGATTTTTCCTTTTAATTATATAAACACCATTATCAACCAGCACTTTGTATGTGTGGTTGTTTTTCAGTTTTATTTTTTTGTAGTGTGTCAGCCTCACACTTAACTGTCCACAGAAAGATCTCTGTCCAGGTGATGTGATTTCACAAAGCGTACTTCCTCAGACGTTGTTTGAAACCCTCTCACACCTTCCTGTGCTCACACAGTGAGTGATGACGGTGATGCCACAGGTTGCTTTCATTAAAGTCTGTGATGGTTCATTGCTTTGGGGTAATTTTGGAGCTGAGCCCATGGATGGTAAACATTACCTGCAAAACATCAGCATTGTTTTGTGAGCATAGTAGAATGCTGACATTAGCATTTAGCTGAAGTGCAGCCTTGTAAAGATGGTACTGCTGTAGGCTCTTAGTCTTGTTTGTTCCTGCCTGGCTGTTATACACCAGGTATTGGCAATATTAGGTACATGCAAGCATTGGGGCTCATACATATTTTGTGTTTATTAACATTTTATCAGTGACAGCTACACATCAGCTGTCACTTTTCTTAAAATGCAGTCTGTATTTAGCATTGAGCCTAAGTAAATGCAGTAGGCTAATAGTTGGAACACTAACTAAATTCAGAACTCCAATATGTTATTTCCATGACCCAGGAAAGTTCAATCAGTGTCTGTGAACATGAGCTACTCTCTCTCAAAGCCAGAAACCAGAGAAGTAAATCTCAAACTTGTGATGTCATCAAGTAAAAAGTCTGGAGCTGCTTCACAGACAATAAATGGAAGACTGATTTTGTGGAACCAGAGAATGTATGTTTTCTTTCTAATATCCAAACCTGTCCTCATACAACAGTTCATGTGAAATTCTACTAACGTTACGTGCTTAATGTAAAGTTAGCTATGGAGATTAGGTTTAGGCAAGTAACATAACTGTGGTTAGGTTTAGGGAAAAGAATCATGGTGACGACATACCTTAAAATGACTAAGTTCAAGCCTTCCAAAATGCGTGGTTTATGCATAAATTACTGGCTCATCATTACTTAGGATATGTACAAAGTTTGGTGCACTACTTTATGGAGGAAAACGTATGAACAGAGAACAGCCTGACCCAGATGAGCTTTATTCTATTGAAATGTTCTCAGTTCTGAAACAGAAAATGTACCTACCTACTCAGAATACTCCCCTGGGTGCTCTCAGTTTCATCTATAACATCTTTCTTATTTCTTATTTCTGGACTGTCTCAGACCATAGGAATAACATTTCTGAATTTAAAAAATCCACTTTAAGCAAAAGTACAAAAGCATTAGCATCAAAATGTATTTAAAGTACTTATTATGCAGAATGGCCCATTTCAGAATAATAAATATTGGATAATTATATTGAAGGTCCAGTGTGTAGGATTTAGGGGCATCTAAATGCAGAAATGTATATGATATTCATAACTATATTTTCATTAGCTCATAATTGCCTGAAAATGAGAATTGTGTGTTTCTGTTAACTTAGAATGAGCCATTTATATCTACATACTCTACATAGCCTACTTGTCCAAGGAGTCCATCATGTTGTTTCTACAGTAGCCTTGAATGGACAAACTGAATACCTCCATTGCTCTGGATAGGCCCATTTGTGTCTCTGAGTCAGCCACTGTAGTTCTCCTACACGCTTGGCACACAAGAGAAGTTTCCATCTCTGTGATAGATTAATGTACATATCATTTTATGTTGCAGCTGATAAAGGTGGGCTAATTTTCATCACTTTAAATACAGCTGGGTAGCTTAATCAATAACAATATGTCATATTGTATTTGTTGATAACATTTTATATTAATGATTTGAACCTGCAAAGTAACAAGTCACTAAAGCAGAGAACTTTCTATGCTTGGAGGCCACTTTTGCAAAATGACAGGAGGCCAGGGTCCAGTTCATAAACAAACACTAATGATATTTATGAGCATATATCATAGATTAATTGCCTGTTTTAACCTTTCAATTTTTATTGTCCTCAGTCATCTTAGCCAAAAGGCAAATCCAGTCACAGCAGCCCGGGAGAGGTCAGGTTTGCACAGGGACGTCTCTAGGATTTAGGGATATTTGGAGCTTAGCCCTGATCTCTGTCAAGGGATCCTCCCTTGAAAGTTTTTTGGATTAAAAAAGCTCTATTTTGATGTTTTTTAATACACTCTGGCACCTTATTTACATTCAAAGGACAAGAAAATCACAGTGTGAATCAGTTTATTTTCATGTGAAACAGAAAATTATTGACTGGCCACCCGGCATCCTATCTGGCTGTAAACAGAGTATCACTGCACTAAAGTTAGCAAATAAATGTAGTGGACTATAAAGTACTATATTATTTCTGAAATGTACTGGATTAGAAGTATAAAGTAACATAAAATGGAATTACTCAAGTAAAATACAGATACCTGAAAACTCTAAGTACAGCACCTTAGTAAATGTTACATTTTTAATCTTTGGATTAAAGTATTTCAAAAAGTGTTTTAACTATTTAATCCTTTATTAAATGATTGTCAGGCAAAAATCTTGGACCACGATAATGTGAACTACCTGAAGAAAATTCTGGGGGAGTTAGCCATGGTTCTAGATCAAGTGGAGGCCGAGCTGGAGAAAAGAAAACTAGAGTATCAAGGTACGTCTGAATGATCATCATCTCTCATTGTAATGGCGCCAAAACATGCTCCAAATATTTCCACTAATGTTCTTTTCTCAATGAAATGTTCCTTCCCTTGCAGGTCAGAAGTGTGAGTTGTGGCTATGTGGACCTGAATTTACACTAGCTGACGTCTGCCTCGGAGCCTTGTTGCACAGGCTCAAGTTCTTGGGACTTTCTAAGAAATACTGGGAGGACGGCAGCCGACCCAACCTGCAGTCCTTTTTTGTGCGTGTGCAAAAACGCTACGCTTTCCGCAAGGTCTTGGGCGACATCCACACGACCCTTCTGTCGGCGGTCCTACCCAACGCCTTCCGGATGGTAAAAAAGAAGCCACCGTCCTTCTTCGGGGCCTCTTTTCTCATGGGCTCGCTGGGAGGGATGGGCTACTTTGCCTACTGGTATTTAAAAAAGAAATACATGTAGTGAATGCCCTCTTGTTGTGTTAAATGTCTGTGTATTTGTGTGATGTTTCAACTTTTCTGTAATGTTTTATGACTGCAGGAAAACATAATGAATCTATATAGAGAACACTATTACTTACCTGGGTGAACAAAGAATATTAAAACATTCCATAATAAGAAATCCTTGACAGCACATTTTCTGGTAATCAAGGCCTTCATTGACTTTAATTTCTGGCAACTTGCGGCCGGCAAGTCTTTGTTTAACTTTTGTTGGAGGCATGCATCGGGTCTTCTTACACTGAAAAACTTAAAGAAGAAACCCAGACAAAATGTTAAACACAGTAACACCAACAGGGGTTAACTGACCTTCGCATGCCACTATTATAGTCATTACTCATACCTGCTCTTCACTCCTCCATCAGCCTGAGGTTTATCCAGTGAAACCGCAGGAAAATGTTACATGACAAATACTTTCTGATAAGTGCTGTGCTGCCAGAAACTGCCACATGAAGTGATGAAAGGATGGAGGCAAACTTTAACGGAGTAGTTCGACATTTTAGGGAATTTGCTTATTCGCTTTCTAGCAGAGACTCAGATGTTTGGATTGATAGCACTCTCATGTCTGTCCATTGAATATGAAGCCACAGCCAGGAGATGCTTAGCTTAGCTCAGCGTTACGACTCGAAGCAAGGGGAAACAGAAAGCCCACACTTGGCCCCAAACAGGGGCGCACAACCAGTAGAGGTAAATCAGGCAAATGTTTGGGCCCCCAAAAAAGAAAAGGGCTCCTCAATGTCCACTCATAGTAGCACATTTTGTACGGTGGTGTAGTGGTTAGCATTGTCGCCTCACAGCAAGAGAGAGCCTGGTTCAAACCCAAGGTGGGGGAGCCCTTCAGCATGGGTTTTCTCCAGGTACTCCAGCTTCCTCCCACAGTCCAAAGACATGCAGGTTAATTGGTGACTCTAAATTGTCCGTAGGTGTGAATGTGAGTGTGAATGGTTGTCTGTCTCTATGTGTCAGCCCTGTGATAGTCTGGTGACCTGTCCAGGGTGAACCCCACCTCTTACCCAATGTCAGCTGGGATAGGCTCCAGCAGTTACAGAAAATGAATAAACCTATAGTCCTATAAAGGCACTATACAGTGCACCGCCAATGCACAAAAATTACCCAAGGCCCTGATCAGATGTGAGGCGCACTGCACTGCCTTTTTATGTTGAGACTGCCCCAATAAGACAGAGCACCTTTTTGCATCTTTTTCATGTTTAATTGTTGCTATGCAGCCTCTAAATCATTTGTCGTTAGCATAACCGGTATTTTTCTGTGAAGTCAGCTCACAGATCTCTTCTTTAAAATCTGCTTTAAAATGGGACCTGTTCTGCCTCTAATTGAGGGTGAGAGGCTGTTCCCAAATAGTATGTTGGTCACAGGAAAACAGATATCTGTGTGGGTACATGAGACTCACAGTCCCTGAGAGGACCACCAGCCAAACACAGAGGCATCACCTTGTTGGTGATGGTCGGTTTAAGGCTCATTTTAAGCTGAGTCAGGGACAGTTTGACAATCTGCTGTCATCGCTGGGCCTAATTATGCTTGGTGAAATGTTTGAAAGCAGCTGAGGTGAGAATTTGTTCAAATATGTCTTGCAGCTTGGCCAGGACAGTGTTGAAAGTGAGCTAACGTTAGCTTACCACTTGTTGTTATCACCACCATAGAAGGCTTTCAATTCATCTGATTGGACAATGGGAAAAAATGCCAATGACATTGATGCTTTTTCTACCCAGAGTTCAAGGTGCTCCTGCAAAAATAGAGGCACATACAGTGGAAAAACTAGAGGCGCTCAGCAACGCAAAAGCAGTGCGCGAAACGTCATTGAAAACAATTACAAAAGGACACCCCAGGCTAATAAACGCACTCTAGGATCCCCTTTTAGATAATGTATGGCCTCGATTGGCCTCGATGGGTTTCTTTGCCTGTCAAAGTAAAATGTCCGTAAGCATAGGTAAAGGTTTCTCCCATCAAGTTTGATTTTTTAGATCACAACTTTTGCGTGGGAAGTGGTGTACGCCTCTTTTAGGCCTTGTTTTGTGTGTATGCAATGTGTGCCAAACAGGATTGCCACGGGCCCCAAGTATTTACACGATACTCAAAGACTATTTTAACCCTCTAGGTGCAAAATATCCCATCAGTTGCATGATAAAAAAAAGATTTAAGCTTAAGTTTTGACTGCATTATCTAATCCAGGTCGCCAGAAAAGACATATATGTCTTTGCTTTGTTTGTAGGAAAATATAAGAGATTAAAAAGAAACATAAATCTGTACTAATACAACAGATATTCTGGCTCATGTTGTACAACTTAAGCAAGGAGATTCTTGCAACTATCTTTGTTTGGATCAGCAAGATAAGGTGCAACTTGGAAAGCATGTTGAAACTTTTTTTTTCTCGTATAGCACAGCAACTTCTTTCTGTCCAGATGGTCACAGAAGTCTTTGAGGATTCAGGAAGTTTCTTGGGAATAATTTGTTATGTTGCAGCCTTATGCTAAAATCATTTAAAATCACTTTACACTCATCAGCCTACACTCAGTATCCCAGTGACATAAGTATTCAGATCCTTTGCTATGACACTTGAAATTGAGCTCATGTGCCTCCCATTTTTCCTGATTGTCTTTCTACACCTTGATTGGAGTCCAGCTGTGGCGAATTCAACTGATTGGACATGATTTGTAAAGGCACACAACTGTCTTTATAAGTTCTCACAGCTGACACATCAGAACACAAACTGAGTCATGAGGTTGAGGGAGCTGCCTGCAGAGCTCAGAGACAGGATTGTATTGAGGCACAGATCTGGGTAAGGCTAAAAACATCTCTGCTGCATTGACGCTCCCGAGAGCACAGTGGCCTCGATCATTCCTAAATGGAATTAGTTTGAAACAGCGAGGGGCTGCAATCACAAACACTCTGAGAAAGATCTCAGATTGCTCAAAACATAGCCTGAGAACTTTTAGTAAGGAGTCCCAGCTTAGGGAGAATTCACAGCAACTCTGAGCAAAGAAGGGACAGAGGCTTTAACCTTGGTGCCGAGGTGTGGCTGACTTAACTAAGTATGACTCATTCCTTTAACACATGTGATTGGTTGTCCTTTTGTGAGCCTGCAAGGTGTGGACACCCAGTGGAAATGAAATGAACTGCGTCACAATATGAGACTGAAACTGAAGTCATTGTTTGCTGTCTGAAGGTTGAGACAGACCCAAGTCATCACTGCTGCTGTTTTTCCTGTTGCCAAATATCTTAGTGTTGTGATCATTTTATTTCTGGCCTTAGAGCGTTATTGCGTCGGGTGGGAGATGTGAGCTCATGTCTAATGAGATCGACCACAGACATTATCCCTGCGCAATGTAATCTGTAGTGTTTCATTTGCTCGCTGTCATCCAGTGTTTGGAGAATATTCCACCAACCTTATTGCCTTCCCACCATTTTCTGCTCTGCTTCAGAGACTCTTAAAAGTCCTCCTCTCTACTCCTAACAGTTTCTCACCTAAGGAGCTCTCGCAGGAGCTGAGATGCTTTGTGAATAACTTATCTTTACAAGGACCTAATCTTAACTTTAAGGGGAAATTCTTGGAGGATGTCATAATTGTAAGAATTTTCTTAGAATTTCATCAGTAGGTGTGACTCTTTGTACTGAGAAGATTTGTCAGTATGGCCTCAGGGACTCTGTCGAGAGCTGACTGCCTGGCTGAGCACAACGGGGGGAGCAAAGATCTTTTACAAGAGAGGAGAGCATACTTAGGGCAGCACAGTGATGCAGTGGTTAGCACTATTGCCTCAAGCAAGAGAGTTCTGGATTTGAACCCACTAGCCAGGTGGGGCCCTTCTGTGTGGAATTTGCAGGTTCTTCCTGTGTCAGTGTGGGTTTTCTCCAAGTACTCCAGCTTCCTCCCACAGTCCAAAGACATGCAGGTTAATTGGTGACTCTAAATTGTCCGTAGGTGTGAATGTGAGTGTGAATGGTTGTCTGTCTTTATGTGTCAGCCCTGTGATAGTCTGGTGACCTGTCCAAGGTGAACCCCGCCTCTTGTGCGGTGCCAGTTGGGATAGGCTCCAGCCCCTTGCTGACCCTGTACCAGAATGCTGTTGCAGATAATGAATAACCAAACTGAGAAATGAAAGGAACCTGAGCTGAATGTAAAGAGTCATAGCAAAGGGCCTGAATACATATTGATGTGTTGTTTCAGTAATCTTATCTTTATCTTACTATATAATGACAAAAACTGTGTGTCTGTTCCAATCCATGTGAAATTTGGCACAGTGGTAGAGGGTCATGGGAGGATGCCAATGAAGCAATATTACATTAATTGGCCAAAGGGGGGCGCTATAGCAACCGATTGAAATTGCAAACTTTGAATGGGCATATCTCATGCCCCGTATGTCGTACAGACATGAAACTTTGCACAGAGATGCCTCTCCTCACGAGGAACACATTTGCCTCAAGAACCCATAACTATATAGATTTTCCGCCATTTTGAATTTTTTGAAAAACACTTCAAATGGATCTCTTCCTAGGAAGTTTGAGCGATCTGCATGAAACTGGGTGAACATAATCTAGGGACCAATATCTAAAGTTCCCTCTTGGCAAAAGTTGGAAAACTTACTAAAACTGAGCTTCTATAAGGCAATGAATATTGCGGAGGGCGTGGCTCATCACATAAAGGTGTATAACATCTCAAGGGTTTCACCCATCACCACGCAACTTTGTAGGCATATGACCACACATAATCTGAGGGGACCCCTCCATTATTGACCCCATCAAACAAAATGGGGGCGCTAGAGAGCTAATTTCTTATCTAGGCCTAAGCGCCATATGGATTTTTACTAAACTTGGTAGATATGTAGAACAGGACGCCTCAAGGTGACTGGAGAAATTTAACTCTAATTGGCAACTGGGTGGCGCTATAACAACAGAAAAATGCTTAAAGATGGCTAAAATGCGACCAATCGCTGTGGCTACCCCTGTGGACCAATGTTGTTTTTTTCTAATTTTTGGTATGACTAAGTCATGGTATGGTATGCTGTACTCAATGGGTGTGGACTAGTCTCCTTTTAATGTGCAAAAGCCTCTAAAATTATGTTTTCGTTTTGTTGTTATGGGACGTTGAGTGGAGACTGTTTTAAACATAAAGCTGCAACATAAAATGTGAGAAAAGTGAAGGGATCTTTGTGAACGCACTGTATATTCTCAAGAAATGCAGATGCTTAGCGCCATGTCTCGAATTGCATGACAGGTACAAAGTGGGGCTAGCTGTTTCCAGTCTCTATGCTAAGCTAACAAGCTGATGCATCAGATTCAACAGACATGAGTGGCATCGATCTTCCGTCTCACTAAACTGCAAGAATATAAATAAGTGCATTTCTAAAAATGTCTGTTCCTTTATCTAACTGTACACCCTACACAGAATAAAACGCACACACACACAGATACACTCAGAGTCAGTTTATTTAGAGCACCACAGATCACACAGCACACACTGGTCCACTGTCACTCTCTTTGTCGCTGAGCAGGAGTTCAGACGTTACAAAAACCTGGGTGTTTGAAAAGTTACACTTTGGCTGACCTGGTAGTAAAATTGTAAATTCTGCATCTATGGCACGATAGTGTTGCTTTAGGTTTAGGGTGTATATTTCATTGCATGGGTACTTTCTTATTGTGTAAGCGTTTCGTGACGGACGGACACTGGCCAGAGGCAGAATTTATGATCGCTACCCAACATCTTAACCACAGATTTCTAAATGTCTTCTTGCTAATTGTAACATTTGAAGCACCTGCACTGTACAGTGTTAGAGATGGTCCCTCAGCAATACTGAGCAAAGGAGACAAAAAACACACT